TATTTTCCGAACTTAAAATATCCAAAAGTTTAAAAAATGATAATTTTGAAACTACTGTTTAGGATATTTTTTTTTCAAATTGTTTATTTAATTAATATATACGTGTTTTCATTCAAACCTATGGGGAGTAGATATCGGCCGGTTTGGCATGAAATTACCGATATTCTGCCGAATGGAGCGATCGGAATCGCTAAAGTCCCACTGTATCTCAATTTATATATTTTCTTTATAATAATATAACTAATGTTTGAAAAAAAATAGTATAAAAAGTTTTATAAATATAAGCTTTTCCGAGAAAAAGATGACTTATTACATTTTGCAAGAAGATGCATATTACAAGATGAGTTATTACATTTTTTTTCTTATTCAGTTATACAGTCCCCAAACTTTAGCTAGTCCTTTTTTATTAATTTAGTTTGTTTTGTTTTTTATCTCAAGAAAATCCCATTGAAAAAATAACAGATAATTATATTTGGGATTTTCGCCCACCGTGGGAGTCTCAAAAGGTTGTTTTTTTCCTCGTTTTATCTAGTCGCAATCTTCACTTTAACTACTGGATACGTCATGATTCGTTTTAATGTTTCTAAGGATTGGAAGTAGGAATAATTATAACTATTACAACGAAAAAAAAAATAAATGCATAGTGCAGAATATTTTCAATCTAATGCCAAACTTTCAACAATATTTTGAAAGAGAAAAATCAAAATTGCATACGGGAATGAAATTCGACAGTTCTACAAAGGCGATAAGGTCGCCTTCGCCATATCTGGCTAAAGATAAACTTCCATAAAGTGAAATTTCTTCACCTATAGATTAAATCAAAATAATTTTGTTAGGAATGTTCAAATATGCATGATATGAAACTTAACAAATATAAGATGTAAAAATATCGAACACTAATTAAAGCATCGTTATTATAAGTAACCCTATTTCATTTGTAGGTAAAGTTTTAATAATGAATCAGGCAAGTTGGTTTAAAAACGAACTTAAGCGATTCTTACACATTATGAACAATAATCTTCTAACTGACTGTAATATTATTTAGATAATTTACATGAATAAATAGTATTTTTTATCGTACTTTCATAAATAAAAACTAACCTAGCGTTAGTGAATAAAAAAATATATCATGTTTCAATCAATTATAAATTTTAATAAAATTGTTTATCAATAAAATAATTTTAATAATGGATTAAACAGATTGGAGTTAATCGTTCCATGAATGCTACTCTCAATTCCATTAACAATTATGTCCGACGGGACTCGGAATATTCCATTCGACATTGAAAAAATATTTCATTCCAGAACGCTGATGGAAAATTTTGTGAGATGGTGGGGATACGGATCTGCGGTATAAATTATATAATTGGAAATACCGAAGCGATGGTATCGACCTAAGCAGGCCGATGGGCCATGTGGAACAGCGGCCACCAAGCTAAGCTAACTTATTAATATTCAAGGATAACTTCCTTTCTGAACTTTAAAGAGGATAAATGGGGGTGGAAAAAAGATAAGGCCTTGAAGGGATTTTTATAAGTCGAAGTAACACAGGAAGTAGCGATGAAGGTTCTGTGTTCTTGAGCTAGCTGGAATTCGGAAACGTATCCTCGTTCGAAAAAAAAAAAAATTCTCAAGCGTTTCGTCATATAAACCGGCTTATAAGCTTTAAATTACGTGATTATAAAATATATTCTCACTCTGAATTTTCTCCCTTATTTTATAATGGAAGAAAAGAACAAATTTAATTTAGCATAATTTTATGAAGGTAATAAATTTATATATATATATATATATATATATATATATATATATATATATATATATATTATATTTTTAGAATGAAATGATCAAAATAGCCTTTATTTATGCACAAATATTACAATTTCTATGAAAACATACAATTTCAAAAGCAAACAAAACAAAATAAAACAATTTTTTTTTTTTATATTATTATAATTTATACAAAACTTTTTACTATCTTGCATAGGCCTTCCCTTAGGAGTAATAGTCTTCAACACTTCCCTGGGTGACTAGCCCTACTGGGAAGCGTGATTTCTGACCTTTAACCAATTTTCTTTCCACACATCTCTGTCCCTAACTGCTCTCCACCAGAGAGGTCCTTCCAAAAGCCTAAATGGATCTCTCCATCTATTTTTAGAATATTACTACGCAAATAATAATAATACTACCTATTTTTACGGGATCAGTATTAACAACTTCGTCACTACAAAAACAGTTAAATAGCAGTTATATTCCAGTAAAATAAACTGAATATATTTATACATATTAACCAGGGACCTCCGTCGCTAGCAACCTCTTTTAATATAATAGTATGATGCGATGTAGCGAAATAAATAAGTATAGTGGAAGGCAGATGAATTAAGATATTTACCAACTAAGATCTTTAAAAGATAAAAACTATAACTGCTACAACTTTAAGCTTGAATATCAGCATCGTCTAATTGGATTTCCGTAAATGTAGAGGTAAACTTTATTATTTATGACAATCAAAAAGTGAACCAGTTTCCATTATATCGTCGAATTGAGGATAAAATAGATTTGCCTGTGTTTGACACAAATATATGTTTTAGAATTGGCAAAATTGAGAAATTATCAATCCTTATTACATCGGGGCACAGATAGACAATAAAAAAACCTCATTTTCGCAAAAATGAAACTTGATCATTTTTATTGCCTCACAAACTGAAAGATTTGTCACCTAAGTTTTGATTTTCGGACATGATGTGTCAAACTAATACGATAGTCAGTATGTATATAAAAAGTGATTCAAATAAAGGAATCAATAAATCTGCATCTGGTTTATAAATTTCTTAACATGTTTGTTTACCTTTCTAAAAAATTAAAATTTCGAGTAGTTAATTAATTTGAATCTCTTTATTCGCCCAATTTTACAGGAATACCTAGACGCCTAGATGCATCCAGTTCATGAACAAGTTGGGCCATACAAGCAAGATTAATTTTTAAGTAAGCACAATTAATCTATTCGTAGCACAAGAGTGCATCTGTAGCAGTTGATGCTATTATAAACACGCGGATCTACGGGGGAGGGGGGTTTTCGAGCTGAAGTCTCCCCTTCTCTATAATGGTAAAATATAACCATGTTTATGAAAAAAAAATATTAAACAACTTTCTATTAAGCATTATTGTTGCAGTAATTACGTTTAATACGACTTTAATAATCACTTAAACACCATTTCACATAGCTAGCTAGTTTCTTTATTTTTCTTCCCAAGTAATTATCGTTATATATAGGGAAAAAAAGCTTTCGAGCTGAAGCTCTCTCCTAAAATTAAATCCTGGATCAGCTAGTATTATTATATACAGTGTAGCGTTATATGTTATAAGTACGAATGCGTTGTACTCCGAATCTCGAGAACAGAACAATTGAACTGAATTTCGCACTGATTTCCGCTTATCGGCTAGAGATACAGACACCCTCTACGGTCCAGAAGCGAAAACTTGCGTTCCTCCGACTTCAATGTGGATGTTGTTGATTGGCGAAGACCTTGTTTGAATACTAAACGGTTCTATCATTATGTATTTTTTTACTTCGAAATAGTTTGTTCCTCATTGGAGCAACGTCAACCAAAATCGGAGCAGTATTGGGCATTGATTGATCAAAAATCACCGGTCTATCGGAGGATTGTATCTCCAGTTTGTCATTTTTATTTGAGATTCAGTATAGTACTAACCAACGTGGAAACCATTGATAGATACATAAACGGAAAGAAGAAAGTTACAACAGACCAATTCTGTCGTTAAGATATTGATAGCAAGCTGACAAACCAGTACGCATAAATATCACTTTAAAAAATGCGTAAATCAACATTATGAAGTACTGTAACTGGTTAATAAACTAACGATTTTTAAATCATAATAAGAAATTCAAACAAGATCAATCCTTATTTCTCGTATGATCACCTGGAATCAAACAGATCGGTGGTATATAATGATGAATGCAAAACTAGCAAATATTCCGGGTTAGCGGTAATGATTATTTCCAAAAACAGCAATGATAGATGCCTAATATAAATAAGAAGGAGATGGTCAAGTCGGATTTATGTCTTTCAAAACGATTTTTTTTTCACTTCCTGTAAATTTGGGTTTTAGCAAATAGACATTTCTTAGTAGATCATCGAAACGACATGTAATGCGGCTTGTGATCAATTGTTATTTTTAAATCGAACTTAAAATTTTTAATTTTTTCAATAGAATAATTATTTTCTCCTTAAATTATTATTATAAAATTTAGAATAGAAGTAAGATATAAGACATTATAATAAATTAATAAGGTGGCCTCCTCTCGAGGCGCTACGATCCATGAAAGGCCTTGGCCTCCTCCACAATTTTTCTTACACTCAGCTATATCTTGGATTGCCCACTTCCACTTTCCCAAGTCCAACAACCGAAGATCCCATTCGCTCTTCCGGTCAATCTTTTCTTTTGCTACTTGATTGTAAATGAATTATTTCTTTACAAGAGAGTCTAATATTACCAACGTGCTGCGGATAGCCCATCGACTTTGTTTGAGCTTGAATAAAATTGCAGTAATTATAGGTAGAGGAAATAATTATTTTATGAAAACGCAACTTAACAGAATTAGACTTTTTAAGATATTTTCAAACATAAATGAAGAAAAAAAACGAAACCAATCCAAATTGTTCCAAATGCGAAATTATGTAAGTTGCATAATGAGGAATTATTAAGCCTGCATATTTACTAAAAAAATATATATATATATATAAGAGAAATATTTACTACTTTTAGCAAAAAGTAACTAAATAATTTATTAAAAATAACCATACAAGAAAAGTAGTTAATAAAATAAAATGTAGTTCTTAATTTCAATTTTTTTAAAAATAGGTACTCATACTTTTGGAAGGGAATTACAAATTCATTTATAACTAAATACAATATATTTTTGAAAGAGACTTATATTATTGGCACAAAGAATTGTGCTATTATAGAAAGCTACTCACATATATCGATGGCCTCCATGTCTTCCAAGACCAACGGAACCGGACAACGTTAGAGAACTGACTGAAGCTACCACCCCACTACGGTACAAGTTTCCCCACCTCCGGCTCCTTAAGAAAACAATTCCAAAATTCCTGGACTTCCCGGCAAAGCCATCAGCACCTTATAATGAGCTTCCTGTAAGACTACTTAATGCTTATCTCTCGTTAAAAAAATAATCTTTTACAACTCACATAAGAAATTGGTTGTTTTTATAATTAATTATTTATTTTCAACCACACATGGGTTCAGTGAATGAGCAGTCCAGCTGAAAGGTCTCGAGTTCAAGATTCACTAATTATGCGCTACATTCATCTAGTATTGATTCACTCTGAATTTGTCTTACCTATATATTTGAATTATATCAATCAAAACGCAATAATTTACTAGAAGATAATGGTCTATTTAATGATTTAGAAAATTCATTGTTTCTAAGTTTCTTTTAGCGATTTCGTAATACAAATTTACACTATTTTTTTTTAACGTTTATTTTTACAGTCTAGGTTTTAATAATAAAATATAGTATAAAGCTTCCTTTATACTATCACTATTACAGAGCCAATATGGAATTTCGACATACATAGGTCGTCTGAGGAGTGCAGTTGCGGATCCAAAATTTACTTTGGGGAGGAAGGGACATTTTTTTTTTATATCACATGACGGTAATCAGTCTGGAAGAAAAAGAAATAAATAATATATAAAAAGTGTTAATTGAAAGCCTCTTATAAATAAAAAAACGTAATTAAAGGAGCAATAATACTTTTACAGATTTTTTTAAATATATTTTCTTGACAGGTGTTTACATAGTGTGTTGAAATACATATTCTCTTAAAAAAGAGAACATATTGTGATTGTTTAGAAATTTTACATTAGACACTCACAGAAACGCAAATATGGACCAATTAAAAAAAAAAGTATTTATTTTGAAGGCTTCAGCCCGAAAGAGTATTGTTAATCCCAACTGGAACAATAGTTTATAATGAAGTAAATTAGAAATCTCAGAAAAAAAAATCTGACATCACTTTTCAACCAACAAATAGTATTTTAATTTACAGTAAATATATTATCCTGTATCCAAAATAAAAACATTTGAATATTACAAAAAAGAAGGCAAAAAATAAAAATAATAATTTTGTTTATTTTTCTCAATTCAATTATTATTAAAAGTTTGTTTATACTTCATAGTTATTTTAAGAGTGGGTGAATATCTACTATATAGGAGACGTGGGCGAAAAGTATTTCAATAAACAATTTAAATATTTGGAGATTAAAATTTTATTTAGAAACACAAAATTCTTCATATTTTAAGATAATTATTAAAAAATACTTTTTTTCTCTGATCTGGTAAATGGTATAGTATCTACTGTGAACAAATTTATATTTTTTTAGTTCATTTTCGACCTTCATTAATTTATATTTCTTCTACTAAATCTTGCCTAAAATTCATATTTGGGAAAATGTTTTCAATTTATGGTGTTTTATTACTACTGCCATGTTTCAGAGATGCTTAGCTGATGACTTCATCAAATTTTATATGCTGAAGAGTAGTGTTGCCCAAAGACGAGTCTTGGTCTCGTCGCCACCAAGGTCGATGTCGCAAGAACCTACTCCGTCCCCCTACTCCCAACATATTTTATTGCTAACCTATTCTTAAAAACAGAAACTGAAGTAGAATTAGAAAAATCATAGATCATATACAATTACGCTAGCTGCGGTATGTTTCATACTTTCCCCCTTAGTCCGAAAATTCATAACTCCGTCGAAATTTGTACCCCTCAAAAATTCAAAAACCCATAAAAATATGCCCCCCTCAAAAACTTTGGAGGCACAACTTGCACCATGATAACCCCTTCTGGACATCCTTGCCTATTAAACTTATTGCTATTTATTAAAAATGTTAGGTCTTAGAAAAACGCTAAAGAATAGGTAAATTTAGATGTTATATTGACATACACATAGTAAAGACCAACCTAATTTATAAAAAAAATAAAAAAATTGATGTGTCCACCCACATGACTTTCCTACCGATTTTAAACCAATTTTTTTTTCAATTTTAAGTACCTATCTTCATTAAGAATAACAGAATTGAATTAGACTAATTTTCTTGAAAACCCATCATAGAAATCATTAGAGTTCGATTTCTTCATGTAGAAATGCCTACATCTCGATGTAGGCGACGAATTATTAAAATCAGTGTATAAAATTCAATACACTGTAATGTTACTAAAACTGGTCCAATTTAGACCATTTTTTTTTTTTATGTTTTTGACGAAAATTTAATAACCTTTCAAAAAATGTTACTAATGTTAAAAATGTTACCATCCCTAAATGTCACTACATACTATAGAGATATTAATGTTTTTTTCAGAATGTGGAAATCTAACTAAACCCCGAATGAAAAATTGGTTAGATAAATGCAAAACGTATATTGGTTCTACCAATTCTTTACATATATTAACTAGAGTTGTCTAGTATTAGTAACTGTTTTGCATTAAATTTTAATTTCCAAAAAGGTTTTATTTATTGTTTGTTTTTTATCTGTATTGGTCTATTTTGAGCAACACTACTGGAGAGAGGGACAAAGCACCCCTGAAAAGTCCAAGTTTCGTTAAATTCGTGTTTATTTTCAAATATTTAACATAAAGAAAAAGTTGTGTACATGAAATAAAAATTTATAATTGATTTTCATTACATATTATTATGAACTTAAGAATTAAATACTAAATAACTTGAGTTAATTTCTGACCATAATGAACCCTGTTAAGCACGGGCGGATCTACGGGGGGTGGGGAGGGGCTTTCGGGCTGAAGCCCTCCCCAAAATGGTAAAATATAACCATGTTTTATCGGAAAAATACTAAAAAATTATCTCTTAAACTATAATTATTCGTGTAATTACATTTAAAAGGGCTTTAGGAATCATTTAAAGTAGTTCGTATAGGTACTTAGTTTCTTTCGTATTTTCCAAAGTAATTATCGTTACTTTTATGAAAAAAAAAGCTTTCGGGCTGAAGCCCCCCCCCAAAATTAAATCCTGAATCCGCTAGTGCTGTTAAGTAATTATATCGTAATGTACAAATCCGTCTCGCTAGTTAAATAAAAATATACCATATTTTTAATGATGAAAGAACAATAGACTGAATTCATCGCAAAATATTTATGAATAAAAAAATAGTTCATGAACTATACCTACCTACGCCAACTTGTTTAGTGACTTCAATATTCCTTGCTGAATTCTAATTTTAACTGGAGAATACATTTAAATTATGTATTAATTTTTTTTATTCACTCCAACATTTTACCAACTAACCAAAATATTCATACAACAATAATTTAATAAAACATGATCTATCAATTAGACAAGTAATTAGTTATGGACATAAAAACAAATTAAAAGAATTAAACATAAAATATAAATATTTACCATGTGCGTGCGTGTGCAACACAATTATCTAACCCAGGGGTCTCCAAACCACGGTCCGCAAGCACTTCCGATTCGGCCTACGAACGTTAATTTGATTACATGGTAAAGTTTCAAAAAATATTAAATTTATCAAATGACTCATGCAAGACGTTATGCGGCATTCATTGCATAGTGCTTTTCGTCTTAGAAAGATTTCACAACCGAAGTGTCATTTATAGAACAAAAAAATTTTTTCGTCATAAACTGTGGACTTAGTGTAGGTCTCAATGTGGCCCGCAGGCCAACAAGTTTGGAAACCCCTGATCTAACTTTACTAACAGCGATATTAGTGCAAAGCCTCAGCAGATAGAAAACATCAAAAACAATAAACAAAACACACAAGCATACGGAAACAACTATTTAGATATTTGTATTGCAGAAACTACGAGAAACACAATTATTTAACTTAACTAACAGCGACAATATTGATAAACGAAACTATTTATTTTAATACCGACAGCAGATGGAAAATATCAAAAACAAGAAACAAAAGTACCGGCATAGTGAGATAATCGTTTATATATTTGTTGGTCCCATAGTTTGAGAAATGTCTAAACGCAACAGATGTACTCCTGTTGGCACAGAGAGATCTACGGGGAAGGGAGAGAGCTTTCGGGCTGTAGCCCCTCCCTAAATGGTAAAATATAACCATATCTAATGTAAAAAAAAATCTATAAACGTATTATTGTTCATGCAATAACACTATACCTTCCAGAATCGCTGGAATTCGCAGAATCGCCAGAACACAATTTCATATAGGTAGTTAGTTTCTTTATTTTTCTTCCAAAGTAATTATCGTTACACATATATATATATAAATAAAAGTTTTCAGGCTGAAGCCTCCCCCCCAAACTTAAATCCTGGATCCATTAGTGCCTCTTGGTATCGATTTTGAATTTTACCTAACCCAGGGGTGCTCAGAAAGGAGTTCCTTGGTGCAAGCTATACCATTAAATGTTAGATGGGGCACATTTTAGCGGGATTTTAAATTTTTGAGGGGGTGCATTATTACGGGTTTACGAATTTTAGAAACTATATTTTTGTGGGCGTCCAATTATAGGAGGAAATTGTCCAAAATATGCAACAGACCACAGCAAGTGTAATTGTATATGATTGTAATAATTGTAATTGTATATGATTTAAAATTATTCTAATTCTAATTTCGTTTGCACAGTTCTTAAGAAGACAGTAATAAAGGGGATGGCATGAGCCACAAACCTTGAGGAAGATGGGCACCATCCTTACCTAAGCCATAATTCAACATTTTATATTCAATACAGCAAGTCCACAATATTTTGAAATTTAATAATTTGAACATATTTATTCTAATAAAATGAATTACTACTATTAACTTGTAAGTTATAAATCAGGTATTAATGACACCAACTTTTAACACCAAAACTCTTGTTAAAAGAGCCACTAGCGGATCCAGGATTTAATTTTGGGGGGGGGGGCTTCAGCCCGAAAGCTTTTTTTTTTTCATAAAAATGACGATATTTACTTTGTAAAAAAAGAAAGAAACTAGCTATATATATGAAATGGTGTTTAATTGATTCCTTAAGCCCTTCTAAATGTAATTACACGAACAATAATACTTTAAGAGATAATTTTTTAATATTTTTTTCCATAAAACATGGTTATATGTTACCATTTTGGGGGGAGGGAGGATGAGGGAGAGGGGGGTCAGCCCGAAAGCCCTCACCCCGTAGATCCGCCCATGAAAAGAGCTCATGGGAATGTACGCAGAGCTGGAATTAAAGTTTTTGACTGGAGGTAGTGGAGAAGTGAGTGGGGAAATGGGAGAAATTTCACCTTGCAAAACAACCACTCATAGAAAAAAATACCGCTGTTTAAAGTATTTCTCTAATACCAATAGCTGTGAAAAAATTATCATTCGGTAAGTTGAGAATAATTAAAAAATTGACTCACCTTGTGAGAAATTTGTCGTTGTAGATGCAATGACGAGACATTTGGCGGCCACAGACAATGATGTCATCTCTCCAACAAAATAATTTTTTTCTTAACTTGCTTTATATAAAGTAACGTTTGAATTATATTTCGTTAAATATGTCTGTTATTCAGTTGTTTTATTAACAGACTAAAATTAATTATTTGTATTCACTTATAATATATTTTGTTTTCAATTTCATACAAGTTGCGGGCGCTCCCTTTTAGGCTGGTGCCCCAAGCTATTGCTCGGTCCTGTTGATACATCAATGAAATTAATTAATTACGTTGTCAATGCCTCTGACAATAGATTTTAAATAGTTCGAGGTACGAAATGGTTAGATCATAGATTTATTACAGATTCTACTAAAGATAAGGAGTCACCCTAGTACTCCCCCCTCCCAAAAATTTTCTTTGAGGCCGCCCGTGTCTAAAGATCAAGATTAATTTTGGTGTCATTTCTTTTCTAAAAATAAGAAAACAACTTGCTCAAAGGGGGTTAATGTTAACAAAAAGTATGGTAATGCAACTAATTATATACTTTGTTTTCATAAATTACACACGACATATCTGGAATAATTTTTGTAAAATACTTCCAAACTGCAGATATGATAAGATACAACTGTGTATTACCAAACACAAACAAGTAAATGGAGTTCCCTTGACTTTATTACACTTAATTGTAAAAATTCCATTTTGGATGAAGCCCTGGAACCAATGAAACACTGGCCGGTGTTTCAACTGCCTCCCGCAGTGCCACATCCTACGCCCTGAAGACGACCTGCAAAGTGGGTCGAAACATCGGCAAAAATTAAAATAATTTATATATTTTAATTTTTTTATTTATTTGACCGCACCCTCGACTAACTCCTTCTCATATTATATCAACGGTCAACCATCTCTACATCATCATAAATATATTAATTGTTGAGAAGATCTTCATCCAAAATCAAATTCTAAAACAAAGAATTAACATTTGCGAAATGGAGATAGTTGACTGTAAATTATAATTTCAGAAGTTAGTCGTGGGTGGCAACAGACAAATATATTATACTACTCTATGTATAATATACTATAATGCAATAAATTGTGGCGAGAGGCGGGGCAGTGAAATTAAGCTTGCCCCTCCTAGTAAAAAGCCTAGTTCTGGCCCTCTGTAACAGGTATAATCAGTTCTTGAAATTGATCTAGGAAGGGAGAGGAGCTCGCAGACTGGAGACTCAACTCCAAAATAGATTTTTTTTTTTTATTGATCCATATTTGTTACTGTTTATGATCTAAGCTTAATGCAATAATGCATAACAGTTATTAAATTTAAGCACATATTGAGAAAAATTTTATCTCTAGAACCATTACTGTTCCTCTGGTTACCAATGTATTTTTAACAGGCCATCAATGATCATTTAATATAGTTTCTTCCTTTTTCTTCCAAAGAAATGATAGTTATAGTTTTAAAAAAACCTCTATTAAAAAAGATAATTAAATTCTGAATCCACTACTAAAATTAAGAGTTGATTTATGTTCTTTGTCACTTTTGATATGACTGGAATTTACATTTTCAATTGTTTATCTGTTCTTTTGGAGCTAAAATATCTTAAACTGGAAAAGAAAAATATCTTAAAATGTTTTAATAGAACTTTCACTTTATATAGAAATATTACTTACTTTAACTTCTGTTAAAGCAATTAGTTTTATCAAGAAGTAAATCTAAAAAATAGTATGAGAAGGAGTTAGTTGAGGGTGCGGTCAAATAAATAAAAAAATTAAAATTATTTATATTTTTTAATTTTTTTATTTATTTGACCGCACCCTCAACTAACTCCTTCTCATATCATATCAACGGTCAACCATCTCTACATCACTAAAAAATAGTAGTTTTATAAGATGTTCTTAGATACTCTTAAACGACTTCATTATTTCTGGAATTCGGTAATTTTTTCAAGTTAGTTGAAATTCAAATGGTAAGTAAAAAATAATGAATCAACAAAAATGAAAAATTCAAAAACCACTCAACCGTGGAGGTAATATATAGTCCGAAGTTATTTGAGTGAAAAAATCGTAAGATGCCTTCAACTAATGGTATTTCGGGCCAATGTGTCTATATATATATAATATATGAATGAAAAGTTTAAAAGAAAGACCAAAAAAGTTGGGTTGGAAGAAACATTGGTTCATCAAATTTAACATTGTTGTTGACATAAAAATTATTTGTTATAATCAAATACCTGAATTTAGTTAGATACGTGAATTCTATTGTATAAGTAATGATTAGATTTTTATGAAGTTAATAACAGGAATTCCATCTAAGCTGGAAGCACTAAAGTAAGATGGGAGAAAAAATTCCCGAACACAAGAAAATTAACAGCCTATTAAAAAAGAATAATTTAAATTATTGGTTTTGGTTGTAATTATTTTGATTATTAAAATTAAAACCACCCATTGCATAGCAGTACTGTAAGAGAATTAAGGATTAAAATTAAATAATAAAAACAATGAATATTTAATAATAAAAAGATCTCAATTCCATATCCATTTCTAGCTATTTTACAAAAGATTCTTCCTGACATGTTTCAACGTAAATTGTATTTCAACTAAGGGATAAACTTAAAATGTTAATTATCAGAAATTCATCAATCGATATAAAAGGATACAGTTTTTAGTTAGAAAATTGTGATTTTTGGCTTAAATATTTAGGTTCATGAATAAATATATTGAATGCCAGTTGTCCACAGGCACAATTCCAAATACCCTTCTTTATTCACCTTGATGTTTTCACACATTTTCAGATACCCAAAAACTGAAAGGAATGGCTAGTCAACTCTATTGGTTACAACCTAAGATGGAATGAAGAGTCAATTCACATGCAAACTTTGGTCGAATGCACTAAAAATGCAACCTCTGTTTTTCACAATGGGAAAAATCTAAGAATTATCCATGATCTTCAAGGGATTCAAGGCTGCTAGACACAATGTATAAGCATCATCTGATAAAAAGGTCTAGGAAACAAGAAAATGTATCCACAAAACACTTTATTAATACTAGTGACAGTTTTAAATTATTCCAACATAGTAAATGCTATAATATTTAATAATACAAAAATCAATGAAATATTACAACAGTTGATAGATAAATATATTTATATACAAATTAATATATATTTAAATATAAAATATATATATATTTACAAAAATTGATTTTAAATCAATATAATAAGGTAATTTGAAATATGTACAATAGGCTTTTAACTTAATTATATTCCCTTTGATTATATCAATGCATAATGGAACATTTGAAATACTTATTGCTGAGCCATACATATATTAATCGTTGAGAAGATCTTCATCCAAAGTCAAATCCTAAAACAAAGAATTAACATTTATGAAATAGAGATAGTTGACCATAAATTATAATTTCAAAAGTTAGTCGTGGATGCCAACGGACAAATATACTATACTACTTTATATATAATATACTATAACACAATAAATATAGTATTTTTTCACCTCACCCCGACTGACTACTTCCAAAATTAACATTTACCTTTCCAAAAAAAATTGAATCTTATATAAATAGGTTAAATTAAAAGATAAAGGAAAATAACATAATTGGTCAAATAAAAATATAACATAAAAGTATCCAGTATTCCAGATTTTAATTTTTACAGAAAATACAGAGAAAATTATGTCAAGATCCCTGTTTTAAAACAAACAATCCCTTTAAATGAATAATTTTAGCAGGTCTGAATTAAAAGAACAATGTATATTTACAACCTCATATATTAAAATAAATATGTTTCTGTTAATTTTTATTTGATTAATTTATCATATAAGGAATTCCAACCTTAGTCAATTTTTATTTGAATAACTTTTTTCAAAAGAAAAGTTATTGTGATAATACAAAATTTCAGATTTGTTAAGCATAATTAGTGTTAACAGTCCACTCCCTGATTAAGCATCTTAAAATAACAATAATAACATAAATATTTACTAATACGAGAACCCAGGGGGTTCAATACTAATAAAAACAATTATCTTGACTCAAATACCACCCTCCACAAAAAATAATCTACTTTTGTGACAATAGTAAAGACAAGAATTTCCATAGAACTTACACTTGGGTCAATATCGTCCAAATTCATAGTCTCGATTTCGAGATCTATATCATCATCATAGTCAGCAGGTTTCTGCTGCTTAGAAAAGTCTTCTTTTGTTTCTTTGATTAGTGCTGTAGGTTCTTCTTTTTCAGTTATGACTTCATTGTTAGTGTTATCTAATAATATATAAATTGAATATTAATTAATAGAGTACATTTTAACAAAAAAACTTAATTTTAATATCATGACAATTTCTCAATACAAACAAAAGCTTATAAAATAAAAGATACAGAAATTTGTTTTAATTTAATTTTTTTTTTTTTATTTTAAGATGCAAATTGCAAGCATTACATTAAATATTCAAATTTAATGAGAACCTTTGTGAGAGCCATCTTCAGATTTTATGGGAATGTAGAGGAATTTGCCCTCCTTCTCGGCAACTTTCATTTCTTCTATAGGCTGCCTTTCGTGGTTTGGCTGCAAATAAGGAAAATAATTATTACAATTACACTTAAAATAATTGAGTTAATTTTATAAATGATCATTTGTAAGAAGTATACTCCTTGTAACAAACTGGCTTAATAATGATCATGTTGCTATTCAAATCCAGGCCACTGGTTTGATAGTTATAGGGAGTCAGTCTTTGAGGTTAACATAATTTATTTTTAACCATTCCTGCAAGTTGGCAAAATCATTTTCTGAAAAGTAGCTATGTTTATCCTGTTTCTATCAGTTAATGAATCGCCAACTATTAATCGCCCTTTAGTCTCCATGTTCTGGTCCAAAAATCACAGGAGGTTAAAATGAATACGTCCCATTGCCACCTTTCATCCAAACAATGTAATAATGCCTAGTTCCATCCAAGAAATGCGTATTTTTTTTTACTCTGTTGTCACGGAGTAAAAATACTTAGTTTAAAATTTATTTTATTATTAGCTTGTATAAATAAATAAAAAAATCTAGACGTGAAAACATAGAAATGGTAGACAATATGAGTAATTTCGCATTAATAATAAATATTTAACTATTAATTCAATAAATATAATTGTATAAAGACTAAATCAAATCTTGGATGAATTATAAAAAAAAAAAAAAATTCTGTTTCGTTTTTTTGTGTGATCAGATACTCACTATTCTGAAAAGATACTAAGTAAAAAATGAACTGGAAATATAGCCAAGCCACTTACTAACTTTTTATGATGATTAGGTTGTTTATTTATTTATTTATTATTACATTCCGCATCTACCCGAACGGGTCATTAGCGGCTAAACTTGAATAACGATTACGATTAGGTTGTTTCTAGCAAACAAAAATATTGGTTAGACCTGAAGAATAGTCAAACCTCTGTATCTCGAAAGTTTTAAAAAAAATCTCTACATAGAATTTTCTTGGCTTTATGAAATAATTTAATAATGGACCATTTCTATAAATGTACACTAAGGATTCTTTTAAATGAAAATTACATTTTATGTTTTTCCACTTTTTTTTAGAAATAAAATGTATATTGATATATTTTTTCATTACCTAGAAATTTCATTCATACACAGAATATTTTTCAGGTGTGTTCTCAGGACACCCCAGCCCCACTTTGGTAGCCCCCAGGCACACTGTTATTTCAAGTTTTTAGTCAAATATGAGCTCTTTTTTTTTGTAATTTAAAAAATGCTATCTCAATGTTATATATGCTCTTTGTCACTTATATTCTACTGTGTCTCAAATTGACATGTATTTTTTTCTGCTCAAGTACCCAATTACATGCTATATAATATACATAATATATATGAATAATACTAATAAAAATATAACCTTAATATTTTTATGATAAGAAGCTGGTTTAGTCACACAGGATTCTTTAGCTAAATACTGTTCAGTTTTTAAAGCATCTGCATAACCTGGAAAGAGATTAGGATACTGCGAAGGATCTGCAAGGCTCTGTCCTGCCTTTGCTAAACCTCGCCATAACCCAACAACTCGAGGAACCTCACTCGGCAAATATGTCCTAAGGGAAATAATAAACCAATAAGAAACACTATTACAGCAATGGTCATAATATAGCTAATATAATAGCTAAAATAAGACAAAAAATAATAAACCTGGCAAAAAAGGCAGCTTCTGGAATGCGATCAGTGTCAATAAGAATTTGAAGACATTTGGCAAGGTCTCCAAGAAGAAAATATGCAAGGAAGCTAACATTATTTTTTCCATTTTCTCCTGAACTCTTTCCTAGTTTTTCCATCATTTCCCGATTTCCTATTTTTAAGCAAATAAAGAAAAATGCAGTCAATGTATCAAAAATAAGCTTTACAGACATGTAATGAAGCGAACCAGATTCATTTATGTACCTGCTGATGTGGAGAGAAGCAGAAGTCCACCATAATGTTGGGCTCTGTGAAGAGCTGCTTGCGCAACATCAAGCCTGGCTTGTCTTGTTGCTAATTCAGCGGCTTGACCCCACTTGGCTGTGCTACCTATTTCCTCAGCTAACTGAACAACCGTATCGAGCTCTTTTAGTCCAAGAGCTAATTCAAATTTATGTTCTGGATCAGTAGATACAGCCAGAGCTTCTTTTTTAAAGCCCTGTTCAATAAAATTAAAATATTACTTTTTTATTAATAAGTATATTTGTTTTATTACTATATCAATCTTTTATTTTGAATTATTTAAGGAAGTTAGTCGACTGTTCGACATACCATGGGTGATAAATATTCAGGATGCAGTCACTGTGAATATGTGGGTCATCATCAGGGCATGTTTCGAGCACTGAAGTTATTAAAGTACTGCAGTACTTAAACAAGTAAAAGTACTGGAGTACTGGAATAACTTTAGTGCTTGAAACATGCCCTGATGATGACCAACATGCTTATGTTGAAACATTTGCACAAATAAAAAATATTCACAATGACTGCATCCTGACTATTTGTCACCGATAATCTTTTACTTCATTTTTTAATAGCTCTAAAAAAATATTCTTTGATCCACATTTGTGATAAGTCTCAAATTTAATAAATCCTACATTTCAGGCTGTAAGGTTAATTCCATAATTCTTTTTATGTAAATCCAAGTATTAATTATAATGAATCTCACTTTTTTTTAAAATAAATTTTAAATTCTATTGAAATCATTTGATTTTAATGTTTGTTAATATTTAATCCTTGTAAAAGTGTTTATGATTATTAAGTTTATTAATCTGTGAGAGAATGATGTTATTTACTATTTCATGGGTGTCTGTCCTATTGTCAACTTATTTAGAATTTAATAAATCAGTAGAGAAAATATAGCAATAATAGCAAGCAGTAAATAAATATAGCATTAGCAAAAGAAATATAGCAAATTTTAGTGACTTAAAATAATTTAACAGAAATGTACCAAAATACAAGGATTTTTTTTAGAGACAATTCTTTGTCACAGAATGTTTATTTTAACCAATATGTAATAATGATTAGTTGCTTAATGTGTGTTATAGAGAAATAAAATATAAATAATTTAGTTGTAATTGTTCTAAACAAAATTTTAATATTGGTTTCTTCTTTATAATATTGTTTTTTACTTTAATTAAGTGTTGTTTTTTTTTTTTTTCCATCCTCAAATAAACAAAAACCTTGTATAATATAAAGTTGTAAACATTTGATTGCTAGTCATGTCAATTTCATACAGAGTTTGATTTAAATAATTCTTATTGAAATACACAATTTTTAAATTTGTTTAAAAAAAAATTAGTTGGATTAAATTATCACCTTCACAACTTCCAAAATAGTAAGAACCATAAAAATAGATTAGTATAAATACAATCTTTGGATTTCATTGCAATCATAAAAAATTAATTAATGACTTTAGGGAAGTACTAAATTGACTCTCTTTTTCAAATTTAATTTTTTATAATTTCTTATCTAAAAATATCAACATTTAATAAAAATTATTATTTAATGTCTAATAATGTCTGAAACCACAAGCACAAACAAACGTACACTTAGGTAATCCCTAAAGGGGCAAAAAACCCATACCAACCATGTGCTAGAAGAACAAAGATCTGAATTTGAAAACAAATAATTAAAAAAATATTTTAAATACCTGTTTTTCCAAGAAGTGGGCTACTCGGGAACGATGCTGAACTGGAATTGTTGGCAACACACGGTCAGCTGTTTCAAAATCTCCTCTCATAACAGCTGTTTGATATTCAAGAACAGAAAGTAATAATCTGTAAAAAATCCATTTATTAATCAAAATTCAATCAATATGAATTATAAAATGTTAATTAACCCTTTAACACAACAATACATATAAAATCTTAGGTTCAGTACTTTGTAAGAATGTACTGTTTCCAGCACAACAGTTGTGCAAGGAGGTGATTTGGTTGAGATTATGCTCTACCATTAGGTTATTATCCTTAATTAATTGAGGATCACCATTTTACAGAGCCTGGTTATGTCTTAAAAGCTTCATTTCCTGACAAGGTTGATCCATGGCTCATGTAACGGAATAAATGATTATATGTCACAGCCGGACTTCAACACAGGCCCATCTGCACTTTCTCTAATAAATCGATAACACAATTAGTGCTAAATTCTTCTTCTTCCTTTTTTTTTCTTCTTCTCGTGGCACAACTCAGAGTGGATCTAGGACTCCTCATTTGAAGATATTCAGCTTTAATCATTTAATCTACCAGCATTATCTTGTTGAGGTCACATAACAACAATTCATAATAATAATAATTTCTTTACGGGAGCAAGCTACCAGTCCATTGTCCCCAAGTAAGATGGAAGGATTGCCTCATGTCAGTAAAGTTTACTGTTCTGTGTGTGTGTGTTGGTGCAGTGTACTGTACTCGGGAACCAGAGGATCGTTAATCCCACTGTGCAATACAGCTAGTCTCTCTGAGAATAATTGATAATAATGAGCATATCAATAATGCAAAATTTCTATTTTTCTATACTTAAGAATTCATTGAGATTGATCCTTTTTTTTCCACCTCAAAGAAAGTTTAATCTTAATTTTATTAATGGACTTAAAAAACTTATAATTTTTTTAGAAGTTGATTTTGCCACTTGAAATATTGTTAAACTTTGGATAAATCATAGAATAAAAACAAAACATGTTATAAGGTATGAAATATGTTGGTAACGACCAAAAATAAAAATGGTATAGAATATAATCTAATACTGATTAGCAACATGTAAATAATAATCACTTACGTATAACAAACAATATTGTGATGTTTATCAGAAAGGTATAAAAGATTTTGCCTAGCAACATATCCCAACAGGTACATAGTGCAATCCAAGTGAGCAACAGTCACTATTTCTCCTCCAACGTAATAATTTATTCGCCCGACAGCATTGGTGTAAATAAAACAATCGCCAACCCACAAACCTGTCTTTACTGTGTCATTTACTTCTCCGACAAGCTGGAAAAAAAAGGAAATTTTATATAGTTAAAAAACATAAAAGTATTTAGATAGATAATAACATAAAAATTAATAGAGTAGAATGCTTATAATAACACAGAAGAAAGCAAGAAATATGGAATATTTGAGGATCAGTATAAATTTCAGATAACATTTCAGAAATCTCCCAGACGATACAATTAATAAACTAACGATCTTTAAATCATAATAATAAATTCAAACAGGATCAATCTTTATTTCTCATAAGATCATCTGGAATCAAACAGATCGGTGGTATATAATGATGAATTCAAAATTAGCAAATATTTGGGGTTCACAGTAGTGATTATTTCCAAAAACAGCAAAAATAGATGCGTAATATAAATAAGAAGGAGATGGTCAAGTTGGATTTGTCTTTTAAAACAATTTTTTTTTCTTCACTTCCTGTAAATTTGGGTTTTAGCAAATCGGCATTTCTTTGTTGATCATTAAAATGACGTATAAAAAGGCTTGTGATCAATTGTTATTTTAAAATGTTTTTTAATTGAATACTTATTTTCTCCTTAAATTATTATTATCAAATTTAGAATAGAAGTAAGATATAAGACATTATAATAAATCAATAAGGTGGCCTCCTCTCGAGGGGCTACGATCCATGAAAGGCCTTGGCCTCCTCCACAATTTTTCTTACACTCAGCTATATCTTGGATTGCCCACTTCCACTTTCCGAAGTTCAACAACCAAAGATCCCATTGGCTCTTCCGGTCAATCTTTTCTTTTGTTACTTGATTGTAAATGAATTATTTCTTTACAAGAGAGTCTAATATTCCCAATGTGCTGTGGATTACCCATCGACTTGGTTTGAGCTTGAATATAGTTGCAGTTATTATACATAAAGGAAATAGTTATTTTATGAAAACGAAACGTAACAGAATTAGACTTTTTAAGAGATTTTCAAATATAAATGAAGAAAAAAAAAAAACGAAACCAGCCCAAAATGCGAAATTATGTAAGTTGCATAAAGTGTAATTGTTAAGCCGGTATATTTACTAAAAATATAAGAGAATATAAGAGAATATATAAGATATATAATATAAGAGAATTATTCACTACTTTTAGCAAAAAGTAACTAAATAATTCATTAAAAATTACCATACAAGAAAATGAAGAAAAAGAAATAAATGATGTATAAGTGTTTCTTGAAGGCTTCTTATAAATAAAAAACCGTAATTACAGGAGCAATAATGCTTTTAGAGATCTTTTAAAATGTATTTCCTTGACGCGTGTTTACATATTGTATTAAAATACATATTCTCTTAAAAAAGAGAACTTATTGTGATTGTTTAGAAATTTGAGATCACTTACAGAAACAAATATGGACCAATGAAAAAAAAATTGTTATTTATTTTGAAGGCTTCAGTCAGAAAGAGTATCGTAATCCCAACTGGAACAATAGTTTATAATGAAATAAATTAGAAATCTCAAAACTAAAAATCTGACATCAGTTTTCAACCAACAAATAGTATTTTAATTTACAGCAAATATATTTATCCTGTATCCAAAATACAAACATTGGAATATTAAAAAAAAGCTAAAAATAAAAATAATAATTTTGTTTACTTTTCTCAATTTGATTATTATTAAAAGTTAATCCGTGATTTGATAATATACTACGGTATTTTTCATATTTGTTTATACTTTATCAGTTTATAGTTTGTAGTTATTTTAAGAGTGGGTGAGTACCTAGTATCTAGCAGACGTTGGGGAAAAGTATTTCAATATTTTGTTTTTTATAAAATAAAATTTTAATCACCTAGTATTTCGATAAATACTTCCTTTAAAATTACTTCACTTAATTATTGAACTAAATAAGTATTTCAGTTTCAAATAAAAAATACTTTTTCTGTAAAAAATTTAAATATAGAAACACAAAATACTTCGTATTTTAAGATAATTATTTAAAAAATACTTTTTTGCCCTGGTCTGGTGTATGGTATAGTATCTACTGTGAACAAATTTATAATTTTTAGTTCATTTTAGACCTTCATTAATTTATATTTCTTCCGCCCAACCTTGCCTATAAGTCATATTTGGAAAAATATTTTCAATTCATGGTGTTTTTATTACTACTTGCACGTTTCAGAGATGCTTAGCTAATGACTTCATCAAATTTTATATGTTATAAATTTTAGGTTATAAAAAAAAAAACTAATACACGGTGGGCCAGACCCCCTTACCGTGCACCCCCCCCCCCCCACATCCCTATAAATTGCATATCGTTGTGTTCCTTGTAACAATTTATTAAAAAAAAGCCAATGTTCCCACAAAAAAAAGTGAACGCACTGCCCCAAAATGGCGTCCAAAGATGGCGGATTGACGACTTTGACTTTAGTTAGTTTTTTGGTCACTGAGAATCAGCATTTGGCTTAATTTCCTCATAATTGGTCTTTTATTAAAGCTGAATAGTCATAGAATAATAAAACATGAAGAAATATTAAAAAATAATTGGCTTAGGCTACGAAAAACACCAGTAAAGTCAATTTTTTTTACAAAAAAATTTTCAAGTTACAAATCAAGCGTCGTTTGTAATTAAACGGCCTACAATAACGCAAAATGTGAGAAGCAGGAAAGTTATAGCTCATAGCTCTCCTTCTATTTAGTGTATTTGTAAAAGAAGGAATCTAAAAGGAAAACGAGTATTTCTGAAAGACAATTAGATATTAGCACAATCCAAAGTGTGAGGCACTAAGCAGATAGAGAACTATTTTTCTTTTTATATGGACTTCTCTATACCTCTCTATATCCTGCTTCTCTATATCCATATATCTAAATCTCTATATCCTGCTGTAAAAAATCTTTTACAAATGCACTAAACAGGAGAGCTATGAGCTATAACTCTCGCGATATACCTCTCTATATCCTGCTTCAAAGTGAAGATATTCCCGATGTGCACCTTCAGCAATCGAAAATAAAGTGGTTTTCACCATAATAAACATACATCGTCCACTTAATATCATCCAAACTGCAATTGACCCCCTTTTAGCAGCATCTTGAAATACTCTGTTCATCTGTCTACTAAACATTCATTTAGCTATATAATGGATAGTGGTCCTTTTTATCTTTTCCGAGGTTTTGGCACTTCCTTTCTCGTTCGCTTACTGCATTTTTCCAATTTTCTGGTTCAATTTCGCGTTTTTCCTCATTTTGATACCAAGAACAAACAATCAGTTCTGGTTTATAGAAGAACTTATAGCGTCACCCTTTCTATCTTTATTTGTGCAGAGAGATTAATTCATTCAATATTAAAATTTCATATTTATTTATGATATAGTCCAACTTCCGCACAAAATAAAGGAAATAAAAATTAATTTTTATTTAGTGATATATGAGTTTTACTAAACAACCCGGTTGCTATTTATTATATATAGTTCAGATTAGGTATATATTATTTTAGTTTATAAAACAGGTATTAATATGACTCATTTCCTGGGAAGTATAAACAAATTTTAATTACCTCTAGGAATCAGTAAATATACAAAACACAGTGTTAAATTGCAAACGTTAAATTAAAAATAAATCAAGATATTTAGCAAAGTATTTTGTAATTAAGATTTATTATTATCATTATATCATTTTTACAATTGAGGTCTTCTTAAACGACCTACTTACAGAGTAAAGGAGGTTAAATTAAAAAAAAAATAATAATAAATTTTTTTAAAAAATTTTAATTTTTTTTATGATTAAATTATTGCATTAATATTTGTTCGTTAATAAAACCAATATAATGTACCAAAAATGTTATTATATCACTATAACTAAGCCATTTTTGTGTACTGAATGATGTGGTAGAGGCCTGTAGGCCGATTTTTTTTAATGCCTAAGCCAATTAGTTTTTAATATTTTTTCATGTTTTATTATTCTCTGACTATCCAGCTTTAATAAAAGACCAACTATAATGAAATTAAGCCAAATGCTGATTCTCAGTAACAAAAAAACTAACTAAAGTCAAAGTCGTCAATCCGCCATGTTTGGACGCCATTTTGGGGCAGTTCGTTCACTTTTTTTTGTGGGAACATTGGCTTTTTTTTAATAAATTGTTACAAGGAACACAACGATATGCAATTTATAGGGATGTGGGGGGGGGGGGTGCACGGTAAGGGGGTCTGGCCCATGGAGTATAAACACATGTTTGAGAAATAGCAAAAGCATAAGAACAAAGACGAATAGCCTGAAAATACATTTTTTAAATTCAGATGGCTCTGAAACATAAGGATGTTTCATTTGTTGAAAACTGCATATCAAAATTTTGACTCAATTACAATTTTTCTTGCCTAGTGCCAGTAGGAAATTTAAAAAATAAATAACCATTAACTTTTGAAAATATAACAACAGGTACATTTAACAATGCAGAGATGGCCTGAATTATTTCTTTGGAAAATTTACTTCGCTGTATAATTAGTGAATGCTGTTCTCATGAATATGATAGGTATTGTTAATTGACCGATTTCAGAATATAAAATTAAATTAATAAATAAATATCCTCAACAGTGTAATTTTGTAGTAATATACTACATTAAGGGAGAAAGAAGTGGCGCAAAACATATTAATTTCTATAGTAAATTCAAATTTTTTATTTTTGTTTTCTTAACAATTTTAATTGATCCTTATAAAGAAAAATTCCTAAATATTTTTTGAGATGTTCTTCTTAAATTTCTGTTTTAACGGAAAACAGTTTAAAAGGACAAGGTACCCTAAGGGAAAGGAAATTCATGAAAACCATTTTCTTAAAATAGTTTTTAGGATTTAAAAGAGGCTGAAAAATCTTGTGAGATCTTGAAAAAAGATATTTTTACTGATTACTATAGTTCTTCTATTACATTAGGTAGTTGTGGAGATAGTTACTAAAAATGATAGATCTAATCCATATTTAACAATGATTGAAGAGTCTTATACTAATACTAAAGATAATTTTTAATTTTGTCCCTCCTTTTTTTTATATTGAATTTAATAAGTATATTAAAATACACTAAGTAAGTATATCTAAATTATTGAACATCATAATAGCTTGTGAAGGAACTATACATTGGTAGTCCTTCAATTTTTTTTTTTTTTTTACTTCAATGCAAGTTTTTATATTTATAAATAATTGTAACTATATTCAGATACAACTAATAATAGTATCAATGTGATAAAAAAATGACATAACTTACAGAAAATGCAGCTTCAACACCATCAGGAGTTCTCTCTTGAGCACTGGCAATTGCGGATGAATCATACTTCAATATATAATAAGAATCATCCGTCACAATAGCAAGAAGATGTCCAGAATCAGACCAATGGAGAGATTTTGCCTGAATTTCTATTCTTCTGATTAATTCCAGAGTTTCCCAATCATATAAACATAATCCTGAGACTGATCTGACACCAAGCAATTGTCCACCAAATATACCTTTACAATAAAATTGGAGAATAAATAAATAAATATACTGATAAGGTTAAACTACTTGAATAGGTTTAGATTATACCTTCAGCACCAAACTCTGGCTTAAGTGTCTTGCGCTCCTTGAACTGTCTAAATAGTTTTACAGTAGATGTTCCTTCTCTAGAACAGGAAAAACAGAATGGTTAAAAAAATATGAAGAAAATAACTTGATATAACTTAATTCATTACTGTATATACCTTATAGCATAGTCAGAACTATCTTGTGCCCATACAAATTCTTGGGCTGATCCAAAACTTTTGTTTCTTAAAGCCATAGCAGTATAAATTATGTATTCACCATCTCCACAAACAACGACAAATCTGAAAACATTGTAATTTTTAATACTTCAGTGAGTGAAATATAATTGTATCATTAATAAATCTATTTCTTTTTATTAAACATTTTATTTAATAAATATGATAACTTAATTTATAAATAGAATAACATTACTAGTCTGCAACACCACTAAATAATAGGCTTAAGAGTTAGAAGTTATTAATGATTAGTGAAGTATCTTTTGAGTCAGGCACCCAAGCTCGTGTATTGAGCAAATAAATATCCAAACAACATTCTTCTTATTAACCTGCACAAGAATAATTTAAAAAACAAATAACTATCTGACAAGAAAAAAGATGAATGCTTATAAGAAGTATATTATCCAGAAATAGAAATTCCACCAAGATTTATAGAAAAATAAGTGAGAAGGAAAGAGAAGTAAAGGGTTTATTCATTTTATGACTGACAGCATATATTCAAGATGTAAGTAAATGGGTTCAGATACTAATATTTTCTAATGGTTTGGAAGTTTGGTGAAAATAGAGATGTTAATTAATTTGATTTTTCTAAGGCAAAATTTAAGGGTTGATATGCTCACCATTTATAAATATATTGATTTATACTAAGTAATCTTTTTTCTAAAAAGTAAATAAAGTTTCTTTATTATTCTACGACCTTTATTCTAATTATCATAAAGATTTAAGAACCAGTAAATTTCAATGATAATGAATAAATGCACATTACCTTCCATTTGGATTATGTGAAATACTTTGAGGATATATTTCACATGGTCCCATTTCTTTTGGAGCTAAAGCAAGACGTTCGCCATCTCTTACTTCTCCTGAAACTTGCTTCAAGTTTACCTGTTCAATTTCAGAATGTCTGGCCCAAACTATTTTTTCACCATTCACATCCATTGAAATTGCTGGTTCTTCACGTCCTATCTTGACCATGATACTCCCTTCATCATATCTAAAATTTAAAAAAAAAAATGTAGTAATAAAAAATATTGTGTTCATAAAAAACTTTGTTAATATTAAGAAAGTTAATTGAAGGTTGTCTCTGTCAATATTTTTTTTTTTTTTGTCCACTTAATGCACTTAATGATGTACTCATTAGGTGTAAGAAATGGCAGCATAGTTAGTTAATGATCAAATATCAGACTGCAGCATAATATTAATCCTTGGTGAAACCCGGAAATGTCAAAGTGATTACTGCAAGTTTTTAAAAATTTGTTTAACAAAAAAGATTTTCCGATTTACATTTTATTTATTAATTTATTAATACTTGAGGGAAATTTCTAAAATTAAATTAAGCAATGCAGTAAAATTACCCAAGAGCTATATTGTTTGATCCTTTCAGCCTCGCAATAGTCCAAACACGTTCTAGGCCATAGTTAAGAGATGATTCCAATCTGTAAGTTGCTGAGTGCCATAATCGAACAGTTCCATCTTCTGACCCAGTTATTATAATAGGTAGTTCAGTGTGAAAACAAACTGCAAATAACATAAATTATAATCTAAACTAAATTTATTTGTTAAAACATTGTTTTAAATGAAGGAGTTTAAAAAAAATAATATTGTATCATAGAAGAAATCAATAAATCATTCGTTATCAAAATAATAGTTTTATATTTTGGAGAACATAAAAACTTTACAAACCTGCAGTAATATTCTGGGCATGGCCCTCTAAGGTTTGAACACAAGTCTTATTTTGATAATCCCATATTTTTACAAGATGATCGTCGGCGCCAGATATGAGATAAGGTTTGTCACCACCATGATAATAATCGACAGAATTAACTCCTTTTTCATGACCTTCTAAAGTAAAATTTGGAGCAGCAGAGCCTAACTGCCAAACCTGCAATAAGATAGTGAATATTAAAAATTAAATAATAAAGCAGTCCTATGACCAAATTCTCAATTGAAGAATATTCTTTAATACAAAATCGATGTCATATCACTGTTATTTAACTAGTTGATTAAAATCTTGATGAATGAACTAATTACAAGGCTAAGATGATTTAAAAAGATTCTGTCAAAACATGGTCTTCATTCTAAGATTAATAAATATTCCTAAATCTTGAAAACCTCTAGGATATATCAGTCATCCGAAGGAATGTGGCTAGTCCTCTATCTCCAGCATGTCTGAATCAGTTACTTGGACTAAGTTCTCCATGCATCTCAACCGTTTGCTCTTATCTTCCCCGTATCATCTTAAATATTTCTAACCCTTATGAAACTCTTTCTTTAAATCTCTGTATTTAATAAAGACTAAGTTTACATGCTTCTTAAACCTCATATTCCACTAAATTAAAAAATAAAACTGTTTACACAAAAAATTATTTACACATTTTCCCAACAATATAATGAATTAAACTTAAACTGAAGATGAATAATAATGAGATGTAAATACTTAAATGAAATAAACTTTTGGGATGCCCGAGGACTCACCTCAACCTCGGACAGACGAAATGACAGAGCCTCCAATGAGTTTAAAATTTCGGTACCGTTTACGTCAGCTATTCTTCAGTTGTAGTATATATCATCTTTGTTCTTGTTCTTAAATCTCAGTTTAATACAAAATTTACTTTAAAGGTCTGTATTATCCCTGGTCCCATTTTGAACAAATTTTCTCTTTCCAAAATAAGTAACTATAAGTGAAAGAGTAATAACTTATATAAACTAGGTAACTCTTATGTATTTCTCCTGTCAAATAATAAGAAACTAAAACAAAATACGAAGAGAATAAAAAGAGCTGACTTAGACCAAACTCAAATTTTCTTAGATTGAATCTGTACATAAATAGATCTCAAATATTGTTTCAACCATTACTTTGCTGAAGAAAATCCTCAAAAAATATACTAGACCTATGTTCGGGAAAAATCAACAAACTCCCTATTCAAAATTGTCATAGATATAATTTATCATAAAACGTATAGTTTTTATGTCTTTATATTTTGAGACACACACACCAAACGTTTTCTTTTCTTCATAACTTTTTTTTTCTGCTTCTTCTAGGGGATGTAAATCAAAGAGGAAAAGATATAATAGTACAGGAAAAGTCATGAATTTTATTATTATATACAATAAAATGGAATCCTGTATTATAGAAAGACAAGGAAGGGAAAGGGCAATAAATGAATAAATAGTTTAAGAAAATTGGAAGTAAATAATAAAGTTTAGAACTATTGATGACTTTGCTGGTTTTTACTGAGAATTACCTACTTATTCCGGACCAGACAGAATCCATGCAATTACGGACTGTGGCCTACCCTGATTATGCTTTGCTAAACAATAGTTTCTTTATTTTGGTAATGACAGAACTGATAACATCAACACCTTTTAATATATGGTTTATAAAGGTACATAATAAAAATAAAGCAGTCTTAACTAGAAAATTAGTTTTAAAAAATGAAATATCTTTTAGGCCTATGTATAAACTAGAGGTATCATTTAAGGTATCATTGTAAAATATTAATAGATATTACTAACTTTAACAGTCCGATCTAATGAAGCAGATGCAAATGTATTATTATCTTTTGGATTTATAACAACTTGCATTACATAATGGGTATGTCCTTCAAATATTTGTTGGCAGACCCAAGCCTTAGACCAATTCCACAATTTGATTAACATATCATCTGTAACAAGAAATTATAAAAATAAACTTATCCATCATTACAACATATAATATATACAGAAATATTTCATATGTTTCGTGTGTGTGTGTGTGTGTTTGTGCGCGTGCGAGGTATAGGTTTTTTTTGTTTATCCTCTGCCCGGATTTTCAGCAGATACGGATATCCTAAAGACCAATATATCGGTATTTTATTAAGATTGGTAGACTTTGACAAATGTTTAATTACATTTTTTCTGGCCCTTCTCTTCCCTTAATTTGGACAGATAACCATTTTCCAAAGATCGATATATCACGACCTTATTTTATCAGAGTTTAATTTCTTCTGTTTGATATTTTTATTATTTATTTTTTGTTTGTACATCACTAACCAATTTTCTGGTCAACCCCTAAAACCGATATATCGGCCTCTTTCACATTGAATATTATTTTTATTGGTAATTAATGGGTCACATCATTCGTTAAGGGATCAAAATAAACATAAATTTGAGCAAAGACCGATAAATCGACCTTATGACCTTATTTTATTAAGATTGGTAGAGATTGACAAATTTTTAATTAATTTTTTATCTGGTCGTTCCCTTCCCATTATTTGGGCAATTACCTATATTCCTAAGACCAGTATATCGGCCTGAAGACCTTATTTTACCAAGATTAGTAAAAAAAGTTTGTTTTTTTGTTGTTGTTTTTTTTGCACCACTACCAAATTTTTCTGCCATAAAAAATATAATTAATGAAATTAAAAAGATGGCTAAACTGTACCAATAAAATCTCAATAAAATAAGGTCGTAAGCACGATATATTGGTCTTTGCTCAAATTTATGTTTATGTCGATTGATGACTGATTAACGCATTTATTCGCAATAAAAATAATATTACAAATTAAACTCAATGGATCTCAATAAATTAAAATCGTAAGACCAATATATTAGTCCAATCGGAATACAAAAAAAAAAAAAAAAAAAATTGTAAGAGAAGAGCAGTTAAAAGTTGATATGATGCATATTCTCATATTCATCTCTAAAATATAACACATTTCAATCAATAATAATTTTAACAATTAACAGTACATAATGTTACATACTTTTTAAAAAAAAAATTATATTTGTCATGCAACTATTTTCCATCTCCCGCCCGTACCTTATTCTCTTATTTAAATATTTAAAACCATAGTAGACTGGGTTAAAACTAAAAACTAAATACGACAACGTTAATGAAACCCGGCAAGGAACTAGGACTCGAAATACACGTGGATAAAACAAAATATATGGTTAGCTGCAAAAATGGCGATACTACTGGCGATATCGATATAGATGGTAATATGTTTGAACAGGTAGATAAATTTAGGTATCTAGGTTCTACGATAACTAGAAAAAACGAAATTGAAGAAGAGATTAAGGTTAGACTGAAGGCTGGGAAATGCTTGTTATTTTTCTGTGACAAAACTACTTAGTTCGCGCCTCTTGTCCCGGAACTTAAAAATTAGAATCTATAAAACAATTATCTTGTCTATAGTTCTTTATGGATGCAAAACTTGGCCACTTACATTAAGAGATGAGCAGCGTCTTAAGGTTTTTGAAAATAAAGTATTGCATAGAATATTCGGACCGAAGAAGGATGAGTTAACCGGAGATTTCAGACGATTACACAATGCCGAATTGCGTGAACTGTATCCAGGTAATGTAATTGAGGTAATTTCATCGCGGCAAATCAAATGGGCTTGTAAAGTTGTTGGGCTTAGTAACAAGAGAATTCCTAAAAGGTTAATATTTGCTGTGCCGAATGGTGAGTGTCCGAGGGATAGACCGAAGCGAAGGTGGGAAGATTGCATTAAAGTCTATCTTAAGGGACTGGGTTTGGACGGCGAACGGTGGAGGGAAGTGTATAATAAGCGATTGGTGGTGTCGGCATCGAACTTTCGGGTTCGCTAAGCCTTTTATTATTATTATAGTAGACTAGAACAAAGTTTGTTCTTCATCTTATATTTTGTCTAAACATTTTTTTTGAATTAAAATTAGTTGTTAATTAAGTAAATTGAAATGAAATAAATTTTATTTACTGGCTTATTTAGAGAAGAGGGCTCAGAGGGCTCCTCACTGTCTGACACCATTTCACTGAATACTGAACGATTATTGTCAGCACCATCTATATATTGGACACCAATCTAGCAACTAAAAATTAACCCAAGTTCCTACTTTTTCTCCCCTTATTCAATTTGGTTTACTTTTAAAAATTATTTTTATGGTTTGCTATTATTTGCGAGTAATGTTGTGGTATATGAGCCGCTTCCTGCTTTGAATTTAGCACCTTATTTTGATTTATTGCAATATATATAGATTCCAAAGTTTCGAGTTTGGATAGGGAGTTAGATTTGTAGAATATTTTAATATTATCAACAAAATCTATTTCATGTCTATGAATTTTTCTGTGGTTAGATAAGGCAGTGGTTGTTTTTGAATTGAGTTTTAAGTTACTTTTGTGATTATATGCTCGAGTTTTTATATCCTTTGATGTCATCCCTATATACGATTTTTCACAGTTTTTAGAATTTATGTTATTAACTAAATTTCTATAGTTCTGAATAGCTGTTGGGTCTTTTGCCTTTGTCAGTAAATTTCGTATAGGGTGCCTGGGTTTGAGAGCGAATTTGAAATCGTCTATGTCTAATTTTTTAAATATTTTATGTTATGTCATAATAAATGATATTATATGTCAATTTGTCAATGTATGTTATGGATTTAAATTTGTTATTGTTATTATTTGTGGATATTGCTATTTTCTGAATTTTGGTTTTGTACGTTATCTTTTGTTGTAATTAATGAACTAGTGTTAAATAATTGTTTGAGACTAGTTTGGGTTGGGGGCCAATGTGTATTGTCATTTTTATTTTTATTTTCTGTAAAACAATTTTGAGTTGTGTTTTTGTCAGTTTGTTCTATTGGTAGTTTTTTATATTTATTTATTGCTTTATACCACACTGTTTTATCAATTTATGTGTATAGAAACTTTTTTTTTTTACCTGTAAAATATGGATTTAAGGTCGATATATCAGTATTTGGAATATAGCTATAAGCTCAAATGAGAGGAAGAGAAGAACAAAAAGAAATAGTAAAACTCTACCTATCCGGATAAAAAAAAGTCATTAAACCAATAGATCGGTCTTTAGAACATCGTTATCTGCTCAAATTTGTATTAATGTTGATTCCTTAGCCATTTATTAGTAATGTAAGTGACACATTTATTAGTAATGTAAATAATATTCTAAGTTTAAATCTTAATAAAATAATGACATGAGGCGGATATATCGGTATTATATCAAATTAAGGAAAGCGCAGGACTAAAAAAAATAAAATAAAAATAATTTAATAAATGGTCAGTCTACCATTCTCGATAAGATAAGTTCGTAAGGCCGATATATCAGTCTTTGGAATATTAGTATCTGCCCAAATTAGGGAAAAATAAATGGCAGAAAAACAATTTTTTTCAACTCTACCAACCTCAATGCAATAATGTCATAAGACCGATATATCGCTCTTTGCTCAAATTTATGTTTATGTCGATTGATTGACACATTTATTTGGAATAAAAATTATTTCCAAATTAAACTTTATGAATTTCGATAAAATAAAATCGTAAGGATGATGTATCAGTCCAATGGGAGTACAAAAAAAAAATTTGTAAGAAAAGAAACACAAAAAATATGGTTAATCTCTAATTACAGTAATTACGAGAATTTTCTATGCGACGTTGTACGAAACCATACATATAGGAACATAAGGCTGATAGGCTGAAATATAACTTTATGTCTCTTTTATCGGTCAACGTTTTTGTATGAGGCAATGAGTAGATGTTCTATTTACCAATGAGTAGGATATTTCACTGGAAAAAACGACACATCGGCCTTTGTAATATTGGTATCGGCCAAAATTTCAATATCAGTCGATCTATGATATATAGATAATATATATATATATATATATATATATATATATATATATATATATATATATATATATTGTAATATACATCTTCATTGGAAGTTGGTAAAAATGCTTCAGTAAATTAATATCGAACAGTTAAAAGGCAAGCTAATGTCAGGGGATGTTTAAATTTGAAAAATAGTTTCACTAGTTCAGGAAAAAGAAAATGCTGCAGAAATATTACAATAAATATATACATAAGATGAAATAATTGTACTTAAAATACATGCAAGATGGAACAATAGATATGGAAGTAATGTACCTGATGATGTCAGAATATAAGGATGGGCTGGGTGAACTGCTATACATCTGACATAGTCTGAATGAGCTTCAAATGCATTTACTCTTTCAAGAGTATTGTAATTAAAAACTCTGATCTGCATATCATCTGACCCTGTTACAATCCAGTTCTTGCGAGGAACAAATACTGCAGCACGAACTGGTTGGTCGCATACCTGTAATAATAAATATTATCATAATAGCAAAAGCTTTGACAAGTCTTAAAGCCAAAAAAAATAAATAAAAATAATAACATAATAAAAAATAATGATAATAAATTAGTGATATTAATTATAATCAGGGGGGGTAGCTCAGTGGTAGGGCACTGAACTTCCAATGCAAAGGTCCCAGGTTCGAACCCCGGCTCATGGCAGAAAATTTATTTATCTGTTTCATTAGCTGTGAGGCGACTCTGGGTCGGTAGACCCTCCTGGGGCACACCCAGCCTCTATAAAGTGGGTACCCTTAATTAAATAATTGATTAAGGGGGAAAACCTGCCGGTTGAGCGTGATCTCGGTCAAATCACCTCCCAGCACAACCGTTGACCTAGAAACAGTACTTTCCCTAAATAGTACTGAACCCCAGACTCTTCATGGGTTGTAGTGGTACAGGTTTAATTATAATCAAGGTATTTATTTAAAACTATGATCAACTCAATTAACAGAACATTCTGTAAACCAATAGCATTTATTCTTATAAATATGTTGCGGGAGGCCATTATAACAGTAGATGACTAAAAGTTTTCTTCAGATAAATTGCAAAATTATTCCAACTGACCCAGCTCTTGGACAGCTGTTAAATTACACAAAGCAACTCCAACTGCTGCTATTTAACTTGGCACTGGAGAAGGTGGTAAGAACACATATGATGAAAGGGTGACACCTTCGGAACATCGCTCTGCTCACTCAAAAAAGATTAATAAATCCCTTAACATGTACTTTTCAGTTGAGGTTGTGGACTTACCAGATGGTACCATTTATTATCAAACACAAACAACATTTCTCGTAATAAATTTAGTATTATCATTAGTGAAATCTTGTGTACACCCACCAAAGTGAAGCTACACTTGCAATAATAAATAAACTGTGGTATATGGCATATGAATTTTATTTATTTGATGTATCAATGGTTAACAATAGAGTAACCTGTCATTACTGGGCCGGAAACCACCTTCATAATCACCCAGTTTCTGTTCAACATACAGAAGGAGCCTGTTGTACAGGGATATGGGAAAAAATTTATATGCTGTGTTAAGCAAACCAAATCCTTGACAGTTGCTGCATATTGTTGAATCTCCCTTCTTCTTGTAAACAGGCACAACTACAGCCTCATTCCATTCCTCAGGCATGGTCTCCTCCTCCCATATCTGAGCTATCAGGTCCTGTAGTTCCCTGGCGACTTTGTGAAGCCCTGTTTTAAACAATTCTGCTAGGAGTCCATCATTACTGAGTGATTTATTATTTTTTAGTTTACGTAAAATCTTCATCATTAATACCCAATGGTAATTGTACATGCTTTTATAGATAGTCCTCTGCTTCTCTTGGGTTTACGAAGTTTTTGAAATATTGCTGTCACCTTTCCTGCACTTCTTCGTCTAGCGTTAGCATGTTGCCATGGTCGTCTTTGATTAGGTTGGCTCTCCTGGTCAATCTACACTTAATGCTATTCACCTTTTTGTAGAACTTGCGGGACTCATTTTTTTATAAGTCCGTTTCCGAGATCCATATCGTTGCTGTGAATCAATTCTACATCCGAGGATTCGTTGAGTGTTCATAACAGGGAGATTTTTACTATTTATGGGGAGTCGGCTTATGAATTAACTCTCCTCCTTTATCCAGGTTTGGGAATTGAAATGGCCCTACTAAAGTGCAAATGGCTAAGAAAAACAGGTAGACGCCGGTCTTGGATTACCTGCATTTACTGATTCTTATCAAGAGGAATGATCAGTAAATGTACGAAAGTATCGTCATTCTAGAGAAAAATGGATTCCTGCATCTACTGCTAAATATTTAGGACCTCGAAGGCATCAATTTTTGTGCCATCATTAAATAGGCACTGAATCAGATATGTGGGTCAAATCCACAGGTTCTCTGCTGCATCAGAATGCCTTTGGAGCCAGCTCAGGATATTCAAGACAGTCAATGATGGACTTCCTCAAGCAACAATCGAGAGGATCAAGGAAGTCACCTAGCCTTCAACAACAGCAAACCAACAAGAAGATTGATCGAAGATATGTAAATTATGGTTATGTGATTTTTGTATTATTAAATAACATAGTTATTTATGTTATGTTAAGTATTTTTTTTTTTTTTTTTTTTTTTTTTTTTTTTTTTTTTTTTTTTCCTACCCCCCCGGAATTTCTTGAATAAATTCAGTATGTATATATACATAAATTTTCAACTTTCCTTTTATTGCCCAAGGGCATTTTAAGTTAAGAGGGCTCTGCACGCTGTATGCGTTCTTTGCATCTGTGGCCAAATGCAAGTAGTGTTTATTATGTTAAGTAGTGTTTGTTTTGCAGTTTTGACTATTTTCATAATTACAGAGTTGGCGGGAGGGAGAATGTGGTATATGACATATTGATTTTATTTATTTAATGTATCAATCATTAACAGTGGAGTAACCTGTTATTCCATCCATGTATTAAGTTAGTAAAAAATTTTTTCAATAAAGTAAATTGTGTTAAAACCTATCTCATCAATCTTATTGCAAAGACAATTCATAGACATACTATTCAACTAGGCAGGATTAAGTAAAAATAGAGCATCCTTTAAGCAGAGATAAGAAATATTGTCAGGTTCACTTGAAAAGTCACCAAATATGTTTCTATCATAAATAAAAAGAGAAATTGAAAGAATTACAAAGAACTTACTTCAAAAGACTTTACTAGCTGCTGGGTCTCATGATTCCAAATATGAACGTTTCCATTGTATAAAGAAGCCAACATCCATGGTTCTGATGGATGTAAGTCAACACACTTGACTCTGTCAGATCTGGCTGTCAACTTCCTTTTGATATCGAGTCTTAAAGGCTTAAATAGAATAATTAAAACACTGTTAGATCACATTATCATAAAAGAATGATAAGAAATGAAATAACATATTGAGTTTTATGAAAATCACACACTATTGCGTTTATAACTCATCATGCTAAACAAATAACTGAATCTAGATAAAATTTACGATTAATTTTTCTACAATTAAAGTAATTACTTACCATAATTGCAGTAAGTAATATCAACTAAGAATTAGCTTAAACCTCCACTCAACTAAAGTTACGTGGCTGTCAGGTTATGTTTCTTACCAAAAGAACACAATATTTTTTATCTTTTCATTTGGATGAAAATTTGTAATTTTCTTAATAAAAAAATTTTTAAAAAATCATTAGCAATCATTTAAATGTTGTGGATTAAATTAATTACAATAATTATAAATGATCATAATAGCAACACTGTAAGTGACACGATCTTTAACTGTCATGTCAAGTCTTCTTGTATTATAAGTTAAATATGTTTAGTTGAATTTGGACATTAATTGAGATTGATTAGAGTTTTTTGTAGAAAGTAGTCTTTATTATATCTTGATAAATCACGAAAGACCCTCTTTGTGAAGAAGTTTTTGGTCAGTTATTTGACACATGTATTAGTGAATCTTGGATCAAGCTCAAATTACTTTTTCCTATTCAACACAATTAATTTAAATCTGAGTTTAAGAGATTTATCAATTTGTGATTTTAACTAGAGCTTTTAATATCGATATGGTTAAGTTGTATGCGCTTCATATTTTATACAAAAACTTAAATAGTGCAGTATGGTTGAAGACAGCTTATGATGTCCAAAGTTTTGGGTATTTTCAAAGAGGAACTGCCCAGGACACCATGGCTTTTGCCAGTAAAACAATAGTTGAAAGGACTCAATCTGCGACCAGGCAATCTGTCAAAGAAGGAGGTAAAATACAAAATATAATTTTCTGGATTCTGTTTTTTCTTTTCTTGGTGGAAAAACATATTTATAACCTGTGATAAATCATTTCAGATTATATTTGTCACGTTTATGTAAGAGCTGACAACTTAGCAGGGGTTGTGATATCTAATCATGAATACCCTCATCGAGTTGCCCACACTCTAATAACAAAAGTAGGTTATTTTCTTTATGTACTAGATTTTGTGTTTATAAATTGAAATGAGATAATTTAAAGCTTAACTAAAGGCCCCTTTGTTATATTTAATTTAAATATGGAGTAAAATTATTATATTTTAATTATAAATATTGAATTTTCCGGTGTTGATTAAAAGTAATGATGCTTTATTCATTCACTTCATCTTCAAGGATGATTTATTTATGATGTGATCCGAAATCTACCTCAGAAACCCGGTATTTTATGCAGTCTAGTTTAAACTAACTATTTATTATTTCCTTACCTTCCTGTAATACTTAATAATATTATTCCATAATTATCATAAGATTACAAAATCATCTTGGGTACTACTTTACAAGTGTTGCTCCACTTTGATGGGTGACACAAGATCTCATGGTATGCAAATTTGAGATTGGTCGACTGTATCTAAGAGGAGCCGTAGATGACCAAACCATCTGGTAAGGCCCCATCATCATCTGAATAGGATTCCTTGGGATTTTGTTTATCCCTTTCCTAAGAGCAGTATTCAAAAGTAGCGATGTAATTAATATAAATTAAAGCCCAAATTTTAACTGAAAATAGACGGTTGAGATTCTTAATTATTTGTGGAAGTATTAAATTACGATTAAATGAAGGGATGTTATACCGTGAAAACATCAATACTCTGCCTACTTAAAATTCCATTTATACTATTATCATAAGATCGTGGTGCAGCTCTCAATGTGGAGCAACACTTGTTGGTAGTATCTCATCATGCAATATGACAACTCATGGTTGCTGTATGAGTTCATGCTCAGGATGCTAATTGTGTGCGAGCTATTATTACTTGTGTATTATTGAAGGAAGTTAGTCGACTGTTCTTTTTATCATAGATGATAAATAGTCAGGATGCAGTAATTTTAAAATATTTATTGACGTTTCAAACCAAGCATCTGATTCATCATCATGGAATGTTACCAGCACTGAAGATGTTCAAGTACTCAGGAACATACCCTGATAATGACCCACATCGGCAATAATAAATATCTTAAAATTACTGGATCCTGAATATTGATCACCTACTTCTCATCTAGTTCAGTATTCTTTGCTGTTTCTAAATTCTTTTTTAATAGTGCCTGGGTTCACGATAAGATTTTACAATAAAACAGTATTTCATCACTATCAATATATTACCTTAATTTAAGGATAAAACATAAATAAGGAATAAATGTTTAGGAAGATGAGTTCCGAAATAGATTATGTTATGCTGCTAAAGATATCTGTATTTAAGTAAAAACTTGGAATTTTGTTTGTAATGATTATTCATTTGTATTTATGTTATACAATGTTCAAAGGTATTGGATGAATTTAGTGCTAAGTATCCACCTTCAACTTGGGCATCAGCAAATGAAGCCAACATTGATTTTCCTGCATTAGCAGCTCACCTTCAAAAATTTCAAAATCCAAAAGAAGCTGATGCTCTTATGAAAATTCAAAGTGAGCTTGATGAAACGAAAATCATTCTTGTAAGTAAAGTAAAATTTAACTTATTTGTAAAGTGACATTAAATTCCTAGGTTTATTAGTTATTAAAAAAGAATAATTTCTGATTAATGTGATCCTTAAATTTAATATTAAAATTAAATATTAGGTGATATTAGTAATCACTGATAATAAATATCAATTAAAATGTGAATAAATACGCATTATTGAAGTAGTCATACTAGCTGGGAAATTTAGCTGAAGGGCATGGTTTTTGCAACTTTTTATTTGTATATTAAATGTATCAATAATTTTGGTTTTACTCTTTAGAATATATATTGATATATGGATAGTAATCTTTATTCTGAGATCAGGTTCCTTGAGAATAACAAATGTACCTAGTTCTGCCATAAATACTGTTACAAAAATTAAACTTTGTTTACATCCTTGGCTATTATTTAGATAATCTCTATCAGGTTATTTTCAGACCTCTATCAGGTCTCGGGAAATGTGAATCTCTGTCAGATCAATGTCTCGCATAATAAAAAATGATCTTAAGATGGGTGCATTTCGAAGAATGGCAGGACAAAGGCTAACCACTTCCCTAAAAAAACTAGAGTGGAGAGATGCTAAGTACTCCTTGGCCGTTACACCAATGGTCTTCATAAAAAAATTTAAAAATCATTTAAAAATTTAATTCGCCAAAATGATAGTGTCTACACACACAGCTCTAAAGAAGCCCAGGAAGGAAAAAGGAGTTAAAAAAGCTGCTAACAACTATCAGGACAATATTTTGGAATCTGTTTTCCAGCAGAATTCCGCTCCAGCTCACAATGCCAGGTCAACTCAGCAGTGACCAGAGTTCATCTCTGCCTCGGACTGGCCCTGATCTCAACCCACTAAATTATCGGCTTTGCTCCAAACTGGAGAGGATCACATACCACCCTAACATGGAAAGTCTCAAACAGTCTCTGATCCGAGCAGTTGAGCGCTTTCCTCAAGAAGTGCTGTGTGCTGCTATTGATGATTGACCACGGAGATTAAATGCCTGTGTCAAGGCAAAAGGGGAAATTTTGAGTAATTTCTATTTTGTTTTACTCTCTATAGATATGCATTTTATTTTATAATAAAGTTTTTGAAAAAATTAATTTTTCTGTTTCAGTCTGTATATATTTCCTTGTAACAATATTTATGACAGAACTAGGTACATGAAACAAAAAACATACCTGGCTAAAAGACTGCTTTAATTAAAAACTATCTATTTACATTGTTGTCATTAAAAATTTAGAACAAGTAATAAATTATTGAAGAAAAATAATAATAAATTAATTTCTAAAGTCATAACTTTAAAACTAGAAACAATTATAAGGTACTTATTTACTTATAACTAATCTCTTAGTCTGAAATTAAGATATCATGATTAATGAGCATCTGTTTGGAATGCTTATCATTTTTCATTCAGGTTCTTTATAATAAAAAATGCTGTTTATTATAGTTTAGTACAAACTGCAGCAATCAAAATCTATTGATAAGATAAACGAAGGATAACAGTTATGAAATTCTTAGGGGATCTTGGGCAGTATATATGTTTGTTTACTTTTATTTTCGGTTAATGTTTTTCATGAGAACTCTGTTAGACATTTGAAGTATCCTTTTAATTTACAACTGCAATGTGCCTGGTGATGTTTATTTTTTGATTATTTGAAAAAGTAATGAATTGGTTTCTATGGAGAACAGTTCAGCAATGCCTCTATCTTTACAAATTATTTCCCAAAGATGGTTTTTTGTTGGTATGCCATATCTTTGTTAATTCTTCATCACATGCAATGATTGAGCCATTATTTTGAAGACTATTTTTTCCTTAAGATTTCAAAAAATTAGCACATTTCCAAAAAAATTATGAAGAACAGGAACCTTTTTTTGTGAAAAATTATTATTAAATTTAAATTTAATTAAAAATTATTAAAAATCATGGTTTATTTTATCCAAGATCACAAGCAACATTTCCAAAGTACCTACAAGTTGGAAAGAAAAATAATATCAAAATCAGACCATTTTTAGGAAAGATACAGCCAATATTAATTGATGCACATGTTTTGAAGAAAAATTCCTCCCTCTCATCTTACATTGCATTTAGTTATTTCTATATTATATAGTCATTTGTTCATTAATCAATATGCAATGTGAAATTCACTTGAGCTAGTTAGTTGGGTATAAAGCAAGTTTTCTTTTCTTTGTCAAGTTGTGCAGTTTTTCATGATCACTTCAAAGTAAAAGATAAAATTCACTCTCATTTTGTTTATAGAGATACAGTTATTGACTTTATACACCAGGTTCTGATAATTTGGCAGTGTACATTCTACTCAACGATTTTAAAACATTAGTAGAAGAATGCGCCTTATGTTAAAAATATCAGGATTACCAGTTGGTGTTTTTTTTTAAATGGTTTTTAAGGTTAATTTTTTGCCTATTGTATTTTTTTATATAATAATATAACTGGATTATAAAAATTGCTTTGGAAAAGAAAACTAGTCAAATGTATTGAATGGAAAATGTTTTAAATAATTTGAATTATAATTTTTTCTCAAAAACCATGTTATATTGTGAATTGACACTTTAAGAGAGCTTTACATTAACATGAATCACAACTTAAATTCTGAGGGTGGATCTTTGCAAATGGGTTTAATTGACAGCAAATTTAGTCTTTTACCAATTTTGATTTTTCAATAGTGTCAATTAGTTTATTATCCATGAAAAACTTAGTAAATTCTGACAGCGTATTTTGTACCAGTAATAGGCGCTCAGATTTTGGGGTCAACATATTTTTATTATATAATTAAAAAAATAAATAAATAAATTCTCCAGTTTTAAACAAGGAAATGGCTAACTACGGATGAATAAATAAATAATTCAAATCTAGCTCCTAAAGAAAAGCTTTCTGAAATCAACACCCAGGCCTTGCTACATTGAAAAATCAACCAATTGGCTACTGTGGCATATCAGCTGAGGTTCCGGCATCACCCTCGTGAATGCTCTAGCTTCTAATCTACTCGTATAGGCATTTTCTTTTGGGCGTAAAAAGCTTATTACATGTTAATTAGTTGAAAACTGTCTATTAATGGTACATTTACCCTGTGTATATTATGGTGAAGTTCTGTTATGTTTATGAAAATGTAGTGTTGTACATTTTAACAAATACATGGTTGAAATGTTTAGTATGTAATAATCATGTGTATATATTGACTTTAACTAGTCTTTGGTAACATAAAATGTTTATTATTTTATATGCTTATTATTAGAGATTCATTGAATGTTTCAATTAAAAAATATATGTAGGCATACAGATACACTATACTCCTGTTTTATTTCAGCATAACACCATTGGAGCTGTTTTAGAGCGAGGAGAGAAATTAGACGATCTCATCATGAAATCAGAGAGTCTCAGTTATCAGTCCAAAGCATTTTATAAAACTGCTAGGAAAACAAATTCGTGCTGTTCGTATGTCGGTTAAGCTGCTTGATTTTGAAAAATATTGTATATTTGTGCATATGTTAATTTTTTTTTTTTTTTAATGGAGATTTATAGAACATTTGATTTTAAGAGGTTAAGTTATTTATAAATTATTAAGTTATAAGGATTTTATTTTTCATGTAATTTTGTTTCATAACCATGTATTCAATTATTAATATATATTAATTGGAACTTATTTATATATTTTATATCTATATTTCTTTGGACAGCAGCTCTTAGAAAAATTATTATTTTTCGCTACCATAAAAATATGAACGCACTTATGGTTTTATCATTTTACTCATCATAGAATGAGGTAAAGTTTTATGTGATTGTTACTTTGTGAAATGTAAATATTGTTTTTAAGTTTTGGTGAATTAGTTACTTTTATAAGAAAGATTGGACAAATTAGTTATTTAAAAGACTAATGTTTTGGTGGAACTGTGGAAACCAAAGAAAATATTTATATAGGGTGTAAGACAATTTGTGCATTTAATGCATTGAGATTCTTTTTACTAACAAATGATTGAATTATATTAAAAATTTTAAAACTATAAAAGTATTATACCATTTTTTACAATTTTAGGGTATGAAATTATATTTTCTCTCAATTTGTTTTTACATTTATATAAAATTTTCTATGAACTGGGGGGCGGGGAGGAGTGTGAATGATTTTTATTTCGTTTTATAGAAATATTATTTAGTATTTTATATATGATTTTGATATTGATTTTTAAAGTGGCTAATTGATGTAAAAAGTAACCCTGAAGTTAACTATTTTATGGTGCCAAATAAACTTATAAAATAAAGTAAGAAGCATTTTAAAAAGCAGTGAAAATACTTTATTTTAATGGCATGAAATTTTTTTTTGTATTACTATTGGGCATTCCTTAGTTAAGTTTTAAGAAATAGTAATGCCATGGTTCAAAAACTAAAATTGGTCATCAACCAAAAAGTTAAAATTATATCATATGTTTTAAATAAGTTCTCAGATTAATTTGATTTATTAAAAATGAGACAAAAAAAAACATGGGCCATATTTGCATATTTTATTTTTATTTCCTTTCACGAGCTTACAACTAAATTTAGTATTTATTAGATTCTCTGGAAGTGTATGTTTTTAACTTACAACTTCATTATATAATAAGATAAGTAGTCTAATATATTTATTAAAATATGGAAATGATAAATGTTGTGTCAAACTATATTCTGTTAATGAATGCTAGAATGACCATTATCCAAACTTCAGTATTATTATTTAATATTCATTTTAGTTTTTAAAATGCCAGTACACTTTATTTATGATTATTGATAAAATGTGGATTAACTTGATGCTTTTCTTCAGATAAAACATTAACCAGAATTGTGTTCTACATATATACCTCAACTAATATAAAATATAGAAATAGTTTAAATATTTCATTTGAAATTTGTTATGAAAGGGAAAACAAGTTAAAAAGATAAGTTTTATTGCTATTTATTGTTTGGATAATGGATGTTCTAACAATATTTTGAGAAAGTGAACAGCAATCTGTTACAAGTTATTGCTGTACTGATAATGAAATCAGAAAATATATATTACATATAAATGTCATTTTTCATGTAATAATATTATGAATAAACATATGAAACTATTTTAATTTAAAAAAAAAATTATATATTCTCTGAAGAACTGTTATTAAAATTATATCAAAGAAATATGTTTTATAACTAAAAGGCCTATAATTAAGTGATGCCTTTTTTATATGTGTGTCTACAGAAAGATTGTTAATGTCTTGTAAATCTGGATGTTGATAAAATATAATAAATATATAAGAAAAAAATGTATTTTTACAGTACCTCATTCGATTCAAAAACAGGTAAGAAATAAATACACGTATAATAAAAAAAATTAATTTAATTCAAAAGGAAAAAAAAATGCATAAATACTAATAAAACCTATATCAAGAAACATCACAATTGAAAAAGCAGAGATCAAAAGTTTATGAAGCTTTAAAATATCTAAAATACATATCTTTTTAGATGACTACCAGGACCAGCCCAGCTATGTTTGGTCCAAAAACAAATAATTAAACTTAATTTATACACAACCTTATAAAAGTCTTTCATAAATCTCATAATAGTTACAAAGAATTACTTATATATAAAAGAGAGCGGTTTCCTATCCTAAAATTCAGCTATTAATAACTCAATATGCTGACTAGAACGAGTTGAAATTGAAAGATAAGGAAAAAAGTGAAATTTTCAAATCTTCTGTAGAAGTATAGATAATAGAGTTGAGAACCAAGTTACCTGGAAAATAAAAGATTTTAAGAGTTTATTAAAATATTTAACAAAATGTTATACAAGACAAGAAAAAAAGTAAAGAAATAATCAATGAAACATTTCCAAGCAAAGTGAATTAAGAGCCCAAAATCAAATCATAGCATACAAAGTGATCAATAAGCTATTGCTAATGTTTTGGTGCATTCTTAATTAAGCCCTAAAAAGCTATCCTTTTAGTTTAAAAGCAATATGGTAAGCAGGCTGTAGTTTTTTTTGTTGTTCTCGCCTGTTAGGCTATAGGTTTTTTTTTCAGACCAGGGGTGAGGACGGGGATTAATGCCAGAGTTAGAAGCACCGAATACAACTCATATTCATTTTATCAAATAATCTTTGATCCGGGTTGCTGGGAGACAACAGTGCTGTGCACACATATTAGCCTGCTTGGCCACACATCTCCTGCAGACTAGTTAATAACCACATCCCATTTCCCTAAAGGATATCTTTTAAATCATGCAGAGAGTTTAAATTGCAAGGAGAGAATATACCATACCACTCTCCTTCCTTTGTCTTGGGTTATACAACCAATCCTTCTGGCTAAAGGATAGATAACATCACACAAGTTTGCCTTACAACATAATAACTTTATGATGGCAATTTATATATATACGCACACAGTGATACCTCTTGATAAGGAACTCTCTCAAGTATTTCCCTCTTTTCTAGGTAAAAAATTTAAGATTTCAAATTGGCCTCAGATATAGAGATCTATAATCAAAACAAAAAAATTCAAACAATTAACTTAGCACAGTTCTGTTCCATCTGGTTCACTAACTTATGTATTTTATCTACTTTTATTTTAAGTTTTTTAAAAACTCAATTTTATTAGCTGTAGTGCCAATATAAAAGAGGGATATATTTCAAGAAAAAAATTGTATACACCAGCCAGCACCATATTTTATACTATTTATTGAACGCAATAAAGGCGGACCACAGATATCATTTATAGGTTTTTTCCTTTTTAGCCCATTCTTTTCATTTTTTCTCTTATCTCCTTCCTTTTCTCTATCCATTTCTTACTTCTTCTCCACTACATGAACTTTTATATTTTTCACTATTTTACTGATTATTTCACCTTTATCCCATCTTTGATATGTATTTTTTTTTTTACTTTTTTATTTGTTCCGGATAACCTTTTATTTTCTTTAGTACCATTACTTTATTAAATATTTGTTTATTGATTCTTTTCATATGCCAGAAGAAATTTAATCTCCTCATCAATGATTCTAAACTTTCAATGTATTCTTCCCCCATCTTTCTCGGCCCGTATATTATTTTAGGAATCTTTCTTTCTGTTCTCAGAAACGATTCCATATAGGTAACTCCCATAGTCCCCACCCCATATGGTATCACCGGTTCTATGACTGTTTCATAATGTCTAATTTTGCCTTTCCTGGAAAGATTCTTTTTATTATACAAACTTTTGACTAAGAACCTTAATTTATCCGCTTTTACTTCCCAACTCTATTCTTTGCATGTCTCCCCCATTATAGTTCACGAGTTCCAAAAGGTATTTAAACTAGTTCCAGATCTGATGTCTTTGTGTTTAGTTTTGATTTTTTCAAATAATAATTTTAATACAGCTCTTTTTCTCTGTGTTTCGCTCTATTTCTTTTAGTTCATTTGTCGGATTAACTACCTCTTATTCACTTTCCACCATTTGTGCAGGTCATCCGCGAAAGCTAAGCACCAGATTTTTATTCTTTTTTCTCCTCATCCTTACACCAGATTTATTGGATAACCAAAATGTTCTCATAATTTTGTCCAAAACTATAGTGAATAAAATACGTGATAATCCATCTCCTTGTCTCAACCGTTTTTATTTTGAACAATTTACTAATTTCTCCCCCCTGAATTTTAATTTTTGAGTGTTTTAATTTTGGACGATTTACTAATTCCTTCTTCCCTCTGAATTTAATTTTAGAGTATGTCTTAGTTAAAGTTAGTTTAATGTTTCTCTATCCACGGAATTGTACATTTTCTGGAAATCCACAAAGGAAACATGAATTTTCTTCAACCTAATCATGAAGTACCTCAAGATTAATTTTATACTTTGCATTTGCTCCTGAAATGATCTCCCTTTTCTAAATCCTTCTAATTTTAACTTAATTAAAAACTCTTTAACAGAGGTCTCAAAAAAATTTTTGGATGTCACCGGAAATAACAAAATCCCCCTATAACTACTTGTATTATATACATAAATATTGTTGTAATAATCAATTAAATGTCTATAGTACTTTTCATGTGAACATTGATGTGTTTTAGTTAGATTTAAGTAAAAGGAGATTTCAGGATCTAATCAAAGAACTGTTATAAGTATTGCCTTGCAATAAGCTTTTTATAGATAAGCATAATCTAAATGGATATCAGGCTCACAGTGAAAGCAACCATCTCTTCTCTCCCCACAAATGCTCCTGGAATCTCTCTATTTAACAGTTCGATACTGGACAGTTGTTAATTTTTTGTACTATTCTCCGATAGGGAATATTTCGTAACCTCATTCTGACCGAATACTAAAACTATTGTTCAATATTTGACCTTCTTATCGCTCTCCTAGCAATATCTCATGCTCCTTTTGTACAGTGAAGTTGGTTGTATTTTATTTTATACACTCCTTTACACATTTGTCAGTCCTCAAAACTATGAAGTCTCCATCCTAGCAAGGTTTGAAGATGATCTTCTCGTATGTTCAAGCCATATCTACCATTCTCATCTCATCCTATCTAATTTCATTCCATTCTCTTGTTTAAAGGGTAAATAGAGTTTGTTATAGGGAAGTAAAGGTAAAAATATTTAAAAGTTAGACAGAGACAGATATTATACATATATAAAAAAATGGGAAAAACCTCTACAATAAGGATAAAAAATGAGTCATCAGACTATCCCATATCCAAAGGTTACACTGTTTACACACAGATATAGATAGCTGTATGTATTTACTACTTATAACTAAACAATTGACATTACAAGATTTCCCTTCCCCCCAAAAAATGTTGCTATTTTCCTCTTAACTTACAATGTTGTAAGGCAAACTGCATATAAATACACACATGTATGCATATAAATACACACATTTATAAATAAACAAATATCTTCGTATGTGTTTTAAGAATGTTTGTTTATATATATGCAAATATAACAGGTTATAAAAATAAACTACTTTACTTCAATTTTCAAAAATCTTTTCAATTACTATTTCTTAAAAAAATAATACGGATATATCCAGCAGGATTTTAACCCTGGATTATAGGATATTGGTTATAAGCAACCAGAAGGAGTTAGTATTATACCTCAGAAATTTCCACGCTTCTAAATGTTGCTCTTCTTCAAGATAGGAAAGACTGAGCACATGCCCAAGCCTTTCGTTGATAGTTCTTTCTTAATCCACTGTCTGGTTTTACAATGTTATATGGTGCCCTGTTCTTTAGTATGTTTCCTTTGATTAATAAGCTCCTGAAAAGTTTCTGTAACTTTTTAAAAGTATATACATACACATTGTACAATTATTTTTTAAATCATTAGAATATATTTTTTGTGAAACTATTCTTATATTAAATTTTTAAGAAATAGCAATTAAAACGATTTTTGAAGATTAGAATAAAATATTTTTAGTTTCCTTTATAACACTTTATGTAAACATTTATATTATACTTTCTCCGTTTTATTCTTAAAACATTATATATATATATATATATATATATATATATATATATATATATATATATATATATATATATATGTATATATATATATATATATATATATATAGCACCAGAAAAAAGTAATTCACACATACCTAAAATTGTATAACAATCATTTCATGTTGATATACTTTATAGCAGTAGTTCCTATTAGATTTTTAATAACATTAATACTCTCAATTGTCATACATATCAATAAAATAACATTTATTTTGTTTTTAATTTAAAATATATCACCAAAATTATTACTTCTAATTGTTACATGAAGGAGTGTTACCCTTGCTCTTCTTAAAAAAACAACAACACATTACACTATATAATTCTTGTTTATTAAATTACAATGACATATCTAGGGTGGTAAATAGACAGGACGCAGTCATTTTAAGATTTTTATTGTTGCCCGTCTGTAGTATGTGGATTATTATCAGAGCATTTTATATAACTGCATATATACACATGGGAAAAGTGTTTATATATAAATAAATATATTTATGGAAATCAAAGCACAAAATAAGTTACTATGAGCTTTGGAAAATATTTTTAAAATAAATAACTGATATTAATACTATACCTTAAGCAAGTGGTAATTTTTCCTGTGAAGGCACAGACTGGAGTGGGAGATCTGCAAGTGAAAGACATGACCACAGTACAAACAGCAAAAGAAGAAGAAGAAGTGACCATACTAAACAGTAAGAATATGGCAAGTTAGTTCCTCTGAGACCTCCACACGGACCAATCTCCTCTACACCTGTCTGCAATATAACAAAATATTTAATTCACTTATTACTTATCATTATAATTAACTATAAAATAATAATCTACGATAGATATAATATGATAGTATAGATCCTTTTTCTGGCTGTCAGGAGCGATGGATTTTGGTAAACATGGTATCAAATGAAAGGGAATTTCATGGAGAATTAATGAATGACGATTTTAAAACATAAAACCTTATTACAACAATAGATCATTTAAAAAATTGTGACGTTTCAAAATCCAGAGGGTCCCTTAAGTCGGCAGATCGCAATGGGATAATTGTGTTTTTAAGATTTTGACATGGACATCAAGACCCGTGATTTCAATGGAAGCCCTAAATTAACCATTCCAGTACCGGTAAGGGGAACTAGTCCAGCAAGTGGGCCGCATGGTTCTTATTGCTAACCTCTGACGATTACCTTGATATTGCCGCTGTGTAATTACCACAGTGGGAGTTACGTAGCATTGGTTTACATACAGCTGGCAGATTGAAATTTATTTGGAGGCAGATCCATGGAAAGAATCTCTACTTTACCAATCTAGTGCTATTGCTAATGACATTTTAAGAGATGTAACAAATAAAGATGTAAGTTCCCTCAAAGATACCGCTTCAACAGACAATAGAATAGTTCCTGGATGCATTAGGAGCGTACTAATATAGAGGTAATGAAACCCAGATTAGCTTCAGTGCATCCTAAATTCAAAGGTACAACCAAAGAATAACCAATAAAAATACAAACCTGAACTGGTAAAGTTCTTAAGCTAACTTGAGGTAATCTCATAGATTCTAATCTCGAAACTTGTGATCTTAAACCAGGATCTGTAAGAACATCATCAGTTTCGGGAATTTCACCTGCAAAAGTAACAATTAATGATTAGTTAAAGTAAAAAATTAAAGCAATATTTAGTAATGAAAGGATAATTAATTCTATGACAAAAAAAAACTTAATACTTCGTATTAACACTAGATTTATGCATATATTCTATTATTTATACACAAACTATTATTATTATGAGACCTCCTCCTGACTTTAACAGACTTAAATTATTTTAAATTGAGATATTCTCCAGAGGAGTATAAATGGAACCTTTATTCATGATAGATTTGCTTAAAAATAAAATTATATCAGAGAAGATTTTGTAATGATTATACCATTTATAATCTGCCCAATCTCGACTAACAAAAAACCTTTTAAAAAGGCTCATTTAAGTGTCTGATACAATGCACTCAAAGATCATTATTTACATATTTTGTTTAATGACTTGGAAAATATTGAGTTAAGTGAAAAACAAAAAATCCAATATAAAATGTAACTAGAGTAATTTTTGTTCACAAAATGTTCTATTAATATTTGTTTATTGGCTTTAGTATTGGTGGTAGAGTCAAAGGAATTTATTAAAAATACTGGTGTTGAGCTGTGTCCATACAGACTTGATGAAGATAGTTTCTGATGATAATGCTGCTATTGGCAGTACTAGCAAGTCAACCTCCTCTCCAACTGTATGATGTAGGGGAGCTTTAGCTCAATTTTGCAAATAGACAAAGCAGAGAGGCATTAAAATTTTTGGCATAGGGAAGTGGTGCCCCCATCGCCCAGCCGTCAGGCTGCAATCAATCACGGGTTCTCACGGTAGGGGAAACACATTGTATTGTACAGATTATATATCCGAGGCATTCCGGTACGTGCAGGAGAGACTCCTTCGGCTCTAGTTGCCAGTGTGGGAGCTGGTCTCGGTGTTAAGATTAACATCGAGGACATCGATTTTGTGGAGCGCCGTAGACCTAAAAAAGACGACCCTAGACCACCACCAGTTATAGCTCGCTTTGTGAGGCAGGCAGTACGAGACGAGCTGGTCCAAAGAAGAAAGGTCAAAAGGGACTTCTCAACTCGAGACATCGGCTGGCAGGAAAACGACTCCCACCGAATATACCTTGGTGAAGAAATGACCCCTGCTAATAGAAGATTGTATTGGCTCGCACGTCAGAAAAGAGCGGCTGGTAAACTAAAATACGTGTGGTTTTCGGCGGGTAGATTGCGCTGCAGAAAAGGAGATGGCCATCCCGTGATATACATCGACCAACCAGATGATCTAGATGTTTTCTGCTGACCTTCTGATTTACGTCAACCTACAGAATGCATCCGTAAACTTCCAATCTTCTATTGTATAATACAGCATCGTGCTGGGTTGCCCATCTACTACTATTGTTATTATTGTTTCTCTATTTTAACCAATGTAATTTTTTGTTTTTTCCTCTTTCATATTTTTGAACCTAACTCTATTTTGTTTGTATTTTTTTTCTTCTCTTACAGCCATTATTTACTTCTTTCCAAATTGATTTTCACAGTTTTTTCTTACCTACAGCATCATCCATCATATGTATACTTTTCTCCTTTCCGTTATGTCTAGCGTCTTAACTACTTGTCATGTTAATTCTCAATCCCTTCCTGCTCACTATGACGAATTTCTCCAATATTTCACCTGTAACTTCTACCACATTATTGCAGTCTCTGAAACATGGCTTAAGCCCTATATCCCTTCCTCTTCCGTTTCCTTACCTGATTATACCTTCATCCGTCATGACCGGGTTTCCCGGACTGGCGGAGGTGTTGGTCTCTATGTTCATAATAGCCTGAAACCCCGTATTCTAGATATTTCATCCCCTTCCAATCATCCTCACATTGAATTCCTCTTCGCTGAAATTTCTTGTAAAGCACATCCTCTCCTTTATGTGGTCGTATATCGCCCTCCTTTGACTCCTTTTGACTCATCCTTCGAATCAACCTTGTACAATTATTTCCCTTTCTATAATAACATCATAATTTCCGGTGATCTTAATACCAACCTCCTCACAGAATCCAACAACAAACGCTATTTGGCAAATCTCTTCTTCTCCCTCAACCTTTTTATTGTTCCTTTCGCTCCTACACACCATACTTGTTGGTCTGACACCTGGCTGGACTTGCATATCATCGATTCAGAGCAGAAACTCTTGTCCTGTTCTCAATTACCCGTTCCTTTCCTTTCTTCTCATGATCTCATCAAATTATCGTACGATATCCAAACTCCCACGTTTCTTCCTAAAACCATAACTTTCCGCAATCTTGACAACCTCACCCGTGATAAAATCCTACCGGACCTTGAAACTCTAAACTGGAACGATATTTATTCCTGTACCTCTATTGATCATATGGTAGACATCCTCACTTCTAATCTTATCCATATTCTTGACATACATGCTCCTATCAAAACCTCAACCTTCCGTCGCCAACCTGCTCCTTGGATGTGTCAAGAAATCCGCGACATGCAAAAGAGACGTGAGGCAGCCCGTAGACGCTTCAGACGAACTCGACTAGCAGATGACTATCAAGTCTATAGGGTACTCCGTAACTTGACACAAACAACGATCAGGAAAACGAAATCAAACTTCTTTCACGAAACTCTCGCTTCTGCTCCTGATTCTAAATCAATATGGCTAACCCTTCGTAAACTCTCTCTTTGTAAATCCTCTTCCTCACCGTTCTACCCGGTATCACCCGATGAACTAAATTCCTACTTTATATCTTCCACCACCAGCAACAGTTCACCCACCTCTCACCAGTTTTCCTTATCACCCTCATTTAACAGTGATAATTTCTATTTCTCCAACATCTCACCGACCGACCTTATTTCCTCTATAATGAAATCACACACAAACTCCATCGGACTTGATGGGATACCAGTCAAACTATTAAAATTATGCCTTCCCGAAGTCGTTCCAGTTCTCCTTTTCATCTATAATTTTTCCCTCCAGAACTCAGTTTTTCCAACTGCTTGGAAAAAAGCATTAGTCAGACCTATCAACAAAATTCCCAATCCTACCTCTCCTAAAGACTACCGCCCAATCTCCATTCTTTCTAACCTTTCTAAACCTCTGGAAAGAATAGCTCAATCCCAAATCTCTAAATTCCTTGAAAACTCAAAACTACTCGATCCTCTCCAATCTGGTTTCCGACCTGGCTTCTCCACACAATCCGCCCTACTAAAAATTACCAATGACTTACATACCGCAATGGACGAAAAAATGTTAACTGTATTAATACTTCTCGACTTTTCCAAAGCTTTTGACTCCTTAGACCACTCTATACTCTATACTAAATTAAAATCCCTATCCTTCTCCAACAGCTCTATCCTCTGGTTACAGTCTTTCCTATCCGACAGAAATCAAGCAGTCAGCATTCCAAACCAACCCCTATCTTCCTTTCTTACACTGTCCTCTGGAGTGGCCCAGGGTTCGAGCATTTCCCCTCTCCTTTTCAACTCCTACATAAATGATCTTTCCAAATCCATCTACCACTGTTCACATCATTTATACGCTGATGACACCCAAATATATTTTTCCTTTCATCCTTCTGAGCTACTAGTCGCGTTCGCCAATATTCAGGCTGACCTAGATAGGATCAGTGCCTGGGCAAGTCTGAATAATTTAAATCTAAATGCGATGAAAACTCAGGCCATTATTATAGGTTCCAGTCCTATTCTTAAATCCATCTCCTTCCTTCCTCCATTAGTCATCAACGATCATCCTGTCACATTCAGTTCATCCGTTAAAAACCTAGGAATCACCATAGACGAAAACCTCTCCTGGAAACCCCATATTGCCCTCATCTCCCGTAAGTCAATAGGTACCCTTAAGCTATTTCATCGCTCCCGCCACCTACTCCCACAACCCATCCGCAAGCTCCTTGTATCCTCTCTCATTTTCCCCCACTTTGACTACGGCTGTGTGGTGTACGGAGGCATCCCGATGGTACTCGAGGATAGATTGAAGCGACTCATGAATACGTGCTTAAGATTTGTCTTCGGTACATCAAAGCGATCTCATGTGTCCCACCTTTACGACGAGTTAAAGTGGCTCTTCCCTTCTTTCCGCAGACAATATTTCCTCGGATCTTTCCTATTCCAAACAATCAACACTAGACACCCTTCTTACATCTACAGTCTCCTACAGTTTAAACCCGTGGTCCACTCCCAGAAAACAAGATCCCGTTTTTCCGACCTTTATATCCCTTCCCATAGAACTAAGACGTTTGAATATTCCTTTATTTCCCGATCCACAGCCTTCTGGAATTCCTTGCCATCTGAAATCCGTCATGCCTCTTCCTTGTCCTCATTTAAATATCATCTTTACCAATTCCTTCTCACATCCCAAAATGACGTTATACAATAAAATAAATATTGTGAAACAGATTTTGACTGAGGTGAATGATTGATAAAATTTATTGTCTTAATTTTAAAAATCAACCCATGCTTATTTTATTTTATTTTTATCTTCATTTAAATAATGTTGTTTTTTTTTATTTCGTTTTTTCTCAAAATTTTATTTTATTTTTACTTGTTTTAATTTAATTTCACTGAAGATACTGTATATATTCTTTAATATTGATTAATGTAATTTTTGGCCAGATGTAGTTTTAATTTTTTTGTTCATATCTGTTATTCATAAGGGACCTTGTCCCAGAATAAAGTTTACTTTCTATCTATCTATCTATACAGTTACCAGAACGCCTTGATAAAGTGTGTTCAAGTAGAGGAGGTAATACGACCCATTGTAGATGAAGGAAGATGAATAGAAGGATGACCTTAAGTGTCAGGCGGATCAGCACCCGGTTACTCTTGGTCTGCGGTGTAAGGGATCAACCTTAACACTCCGCAAGTATGGTAACCACAAATGGAGGGATTAATCTCCAGAATTTGTAGGAGGATGAAATAGAAACGGAGAGATCAATCTCATGACTTAGTATATAGGAATACAAGCGGACGGATCAGCGTACAGACTTGCATAGAGTAATAGAAGAGAATAAAAGATTACTG